AATTAGTTTAAATGAAAAAACAATTGATTTAGACATGATTTATGGCTACAGTAAACATATAAATATGTATTACTTTATTATTAAACTAATTTTWAAAAATGAAAACAAAGCAATAAGTGATATCTTTAATTACAAACCATTAGAGAAATCAATTTGAAAGATGAATGAAGTGATTAATAAGTCATGACTTAAGCCATGAATTTTCGATGAGTTCTTCGCACAAGAGTTGAGTGCAACGGAACCGAAGATCATCTCATAGATGATGGTATCGATGGACACATTGTGCTTATTATGTGAAATAGTCCTATACTTGTTGTTCATCTTATTGTTGTTGATAATTGTGGTCACTTTGTCACAGATATTGGTCGGCAAGTATTGATAACCGCATTGACCGCTGCTGTTCATCAGGAAAACGGCCACTTTTGACGATAGACTATGCATTTTGTGGCCACTCATAGGGTCGACAACCATTCAAACGATAATATTTATGACACACTTGTGGTCAATGGTAATGACCAGTTGGCCAGTCATCCAATATTTGTATGATTACTGCCATTTTGACACCAATTCAACACAATATTCAATACATTAATGCATTCAATGCTTGATATGAGTGACTGTAGTGGCGCTCAAATCACACTATAATACAAACAGTACTACACTTTAACACATATTAATATACATTACATGTACTATACATTAGACGCAATAAGTAATACACAACACATAGTCAATGCATTGAATCAAATATAACACAAACAGTCACTAATATAACAGCAAATAAATATCATATCATTAAAAGTCATGTGCTTTCCATCACTTGTTAGTCACGGCTTATATTACATACAAATACATACAATAATAACAATAACAACACATGAAAACTTGAAATTCATTGAAATCAATTCATAAACATTTAGACGGTTTATAAGTTATAACCAATCATTATATAATATATCCATACAATCATCAATTTGTTTAACTATTTTTTATCAATTATTGAATCCAAATATTATTTTCAATTGTATTATTTGAAGCCAAATATGATTTTACAATTTACAACTTGTATTCATTTATACTATATGTATACTATAGCGAGTGCAGACTGTATTTAGATATTTGTATTATACAGCATAGTGTGTATGTCTATGACTCTAAGCCATAGTGTTTAATATTAGAGATTATATTTATAAACTTTATACTAACCGATCCTAAATTTACCCAAAAATACAGTACTGTATTGCATATTAAAGTTAAATGGTATCTACAGTACAGTACAGTACAGTACACTGTAAAATATAATAGAATCTACAGTATTATAATTATCCCTAAAATTTTAATTATACAATACTATAAATTTTAACATACATATAGGTTTTTAATCTTTATTATATACTTTAATATAATTTAGTTAATTGAAGTTTTGACTAATTTTTGGATTATCCACTTTTCTAGACCCGAACCAACAATTTTTACTTATTATATCCGATCCGATCTCTATTATGTATTAATATGTGTTATCATAACATTTATAGTGAAATCACATGTTTTGAGAGTTTTGCAAATCATTTAAATTTATTATTAGTTTTTGATTACAATCTAAAAATCTAAAGTATTTTGTGACCAAAAGTCATAAATTGATTGTCAATTAATGAGACTATTGTGTTGACAATGTCTTCACCACTATTTACCATTGAATACATTAGCGATAAACTGAAGCAAAACTTGGAGACAACACATTTGGTTTGTTATTATTATTGATTTGAAGTATTTATTTGTTTGATATGATGTCTATTTGTATGACCAGTCAGTTGAGGACATGTCGGACGGGTGTGGCATGAAGTTCAATGCGGTTATAGTGTCGGACAAGTTTGAGGGCATTCCCCTATTGGAGAGACACCGTATGGTTAACACTATATTGTCTGATGAACTCAAGTCTATACACGCTTTCACTATGAAAACAATTACTACTAAACAATACAATGATTTACTAAATAAAAAATGATTTCCAAATAATTACTATTAGTTTGAGATATATTTAGTTAATAAAGTATCAGTTGATGTATTAATAAATATATTTGTGGTCATCCGTTATGTTTTACAACAACAAAAATGATTTGTCATATTGTCGATGATTTGCACTTTATTTGATTATTTTTGTTAATTACTTTGAAAATATTGTGTGATTTATCAATAATCTTAAAAGAGTTTTATTTCCTAAAAATATCATTTTTATTAACAAACAAAATATGATTAGTTTTGATATGTCATCCAATGATTGTGGTGTTTGGGGTCAAAACCAGGAACTCTTGTCTTAAGTTATATAGTATTGAGTCATTTCCTTACCATTTGATGAAATCGATTGATAGTTGACTTAATCCACAACAGAGATGGACTTCATTTCAAAACTCAAGACTCAAAAGATATCACATAATATTTATCATAATATATATCATAAACAATGGTTAATATCGTACTGAAAATAGTGTTAATTGTATTAATAATTTTGTTGACATATCATCTGTTTGTTACCATTGATCTGAATCGAGTGATACGTTGGATCAAATTGGTTAATACAACCCGATCTCTCAAACAACTCTTGTCCGATGAATCTAATGATTGGCATTAATAATGGTTACCGAAGTATCAAAAATTTTTATGTATTTGTAGTTTTAATTAATAATTTATTTTATATTTATATATATCATAACTTATTTGTACGATGCTTTAATTTTACAATAAATTATTTTTTATTAATTGTACAGTATTTTTAATTTGCAAAATAAAAATGTTTTATTTTACTGTATTTGTTATTTAAATTTTGAATAAATTATAGATAATATGTTTACTCATAAAAAACAAATCATTTATATTTTTTCATTTTATAGTTATACTGTATTTATATATGAGTCTTAATAAGTGAAAATTAAAAATTATATTCAATAAAGATTTGAAATAATTTGTTATTTTATTGGATAAGATAAAGAATTACATTAATAATGTTATATAATATACAGTACTGTAATTACATGTATAACTTGAACTTTATATTTAGTATAACAGATATCAAAGCGTTAAGAATAAACATTTAAAAATTGTTTAAATTCAATAACAATTTAATTTTCACTGATATATTACTTATTGTAATATAAACCTAATAATTAATTAATAACATTTTTTATTATATTATAAAATTTTTATTAATTTAATTACAATAATTTGTAAGACAAAAATGTTGTTATAAATAAAGATACATTTTGTACAAACATATAGTCAAATCTATTTTTTAAATAAAAAATTATAGTGTATAAATTAGATATTTATATCACATGATGTTTTGACATATATTGACATAACTAATTTAAAAAATTATTTAACGCTAAAAAGATTAGTTTCAAAACAAAAATTTATTTTTGAACTAATAATATTTACATGAAAATTTTTGTTATAAAGGCATTGACTTGTTTACACATTTAAAAAGTTGGCAAATATAAAAATAATAACTATATTACAACATATAGTCATGATTTAAAAATATTTTTTAGATAAAAATATATTTGGTTATTATAAACATATTCTATAATTTTGTTGATTAGAAAATAAGTGTTATTAAATGAAATTCTACATTAATTAAATTATTGTTAGAATATGAATGTTTCCAAGTTACCAATGTAGTAATTAAGTTATCAAGATCAATTGACTAATTATTAATTATATGATAATAAAAATATCTAATGATCTTCAGCGCCATCGATACCAGAATCGCTTCTTTCATCGATTGTTTTATTGTCTGAATGAATATCACTAAAGTCGCTGATAACAACTTTGGTGTCTTTAAGATCTCTTGATATCTTTCTCTTGAGTGAATCATTTCCATCGCTGACCGGATCAAACACTTTGTCTAAAGTGTCTTCACTATGACTTCTATCATGTGGTCGAGTGTTGTAAGCATCAAATGAATCGCAATTGTCTGAAGTTGTCTTTTGATTGTCGTAATCGAGATTAATGGACAATGAGTTCATAGTACTGGTGTACCGAAGATTGTCATAAACCATATTTTGTTTCTGTTGAGAGTTCAAAAACCTGGGATCTGGAAAAGTGATGGGATTTATCTTAAGAATGGCGTGAATTTGATCCAACTGTTCCTTTGACCACTTTTTTATTGTATTCTTTTTGCGAAAAAACTTTTTATAGATATATATAATAAATTGAAATAACAAAAATAATATGACAAACACAGAGAAGGCAATCATTATCATCGGAAACAACTCCATTGCAAACACTGGATATCTCACAATTCTAGTGACAATTATTAACCCAAAAAAATTGATAACTGAATATTGATTATACACTTTACATACATTTCAAATAAATATAGTTATTAAATATAAAACCATTATTTCAATTTTCAGGTAAAATATCACTTGMAATCTAAACGCCCAAAATGCAAACTTTTTTTATTTAAAAACATAATCATATGACATATTAGTGATATTATAAAATAATATTGTTTTTCGAAAATAAAATTATTTTTAATTAGTGTTAAATTATTTATATTTCGCACAATTATGTTATATAAAACTATTAGGAATGGGATTTATGATCCACTTGATCCATCAAAACAGTATAGTCTATGTTTGTATTAACTAATAAAACTTGATATTTTTGCGTCAACTGTAGTTAATTGTGTAAATAATCATTATTTGACATTTATGGGAATTTTTTTATTTTTGTTTTAATGCCAAATATAAAATTTAATAATCACTATATATTGTGTAACATTGATATTATGTCAAAAATCAATATTTACTACTAATATATTGTTTATATACTATATGTGTTTTAAAACTACATTTATTTTCCGTTTATAACATATGATATTATTGTATATTTATATAATTATAGTCTCATAAAACTTTATACAACAAAATTAATTTAATTAACTATAAATATTTAATTAAATCACGAGTTAAGGGTGTGTTGTCATTAAATGCCAGTTTGTCTGTTTGTTTCGTAAACTTTAAAATTAAATATTTTTTACAAGAATTTCGATAATTTATCTAATAATATGTGTTTACAAATTAGTTTATGTTTGTATGGAATTAGAAATACAATATTATAAAGATATTTATGATATTTTTGTTGTTGTTGTCAAACATTCATTGGATTCAAATATAAAATTAACAATTATTTTATTATTATATAATATATATTATAATATTTTTTTTGTATTGAAATATTATATTACAATAAATACCAGTAAAGAATTTTTCGAAATTTATTTGTTTTTAATTTAATTATCTATTTTATGCTCATATTTAGTAACTTTACACATATTTTAAAAGCGATAACAAACAAAATTTTGTGTTAAAAGACAAATAAATAAAATATAATAAATATTTTCAAATGTTTTGCGAAATGGGATGTCTAGTAGACAGAGTGTCATAATATGTGGGCAATATATCAGTGCTTTGATTATCATAACCAACAAAACTGTTTGATTGTTTGCCAAGACTTTCGTTATTTTGATTATCATTAGTTGTTATGTCATTAGCAAAGAGTTCGTCATAAGTGGGAGGCAGTGAAGAATTGTCTTCTTCATTGATATCTATATTGTGGTGATGACTATGAAAGCTATGATCTTCATAATAGTTATTAATTGTAGTGTTTGTAATCACTTGGAAAGGGTTTAGAGTAGACATTGGAAAATGTTGGCCATAAAGTGTCAGTAAATTAGGTCCAGAAAAACAAATATTACGGTATAATGAGCACAGAGAGCAACATAAAAATATGAATACTGGTATTGATGCCATTATAAGACAATATTTGTCAAAATTAGAGCTCATAAAGAATATCTTTGGGTTAATACCAATGCAAAAGTTATTATCAATTGGTCGTCGATTGCACACAAGTCTAACAAATGTCACTTCACTTGAATAAGAAGTATAATTAGCGGATCTRTTTTGTTGATAACCTGCCGGACAAACACACGTCTGGTGTTGAGTCGATCTTTCATTTTCTGCATTCACTTTGATTCCAACATTTGTTAAATCAATGTTATAATATCCGGAACAGAGTTTACATAATTTATCACTGGATCCGATCAAACATTCAGTGCACTGTCCGCTACATATACAGTCGTCACCATAAAGAATCTCCAATTGTTTTGACAAACATATTAATATAATTTCGTTCAAAATCAATAAAACAATTAAATTCTTAAGTGACATAACTTTATTATTTTTATATAAGAATATTTCATTTGATTAAAATACAATACCGTAGGTAAACCATTAAAAATAAATTGAATTTATAATAAAAAAAATAATTATGAGTTATCAATACAAAATAAAATTATATAATTATTTGGCTTTTTTGATTTGTTCACTTGAGTTGCCAATTAATTGTCAATAATTTGTGAAATACCGGTAATAATTTTTATGAGATTATACTCATTAATAACAATTATTTGTGAGCATTTTGTAAACATAAAATACCTGACTATATAATTAAATAAAGATTAATATTTGGTTAAATAAAAAGATAACATTAAGTATAGTTAATATAAAATGATTAATAAAAAAAATAATTATAAACAATATTTTCAATGAAAACAAAACAATATTTCAGTCAATATATTATATATGAGATTTGGAAAAATGAGAAGACATGATATGTATATAAAATGTAATCTTCACGCAGTCTCGCGACTATTGATCGGACCATCACTTGTGGCATTAGATTCAATATCAGTAGCAAAAGACTCCGTCTCTTCGTTAGTTTTATGAAGTTGTTGTTCGTGTTGTTTCTGTCGCTGCTCTACAAGACGTTTGAGTAGTAATTGTTGTGTCGCCGGACCAGAGTTGGTGCCAAACTTTAGCGACAGAGCTGTCCCGAAAAATAAACCCAAACCTATAAATAGATATATCATTTTGCGGGCCTGACTATCCCTTTCTTTGATGTGCTCGTTGTCTTCACAACCATCGATGTCGTAACTATAAGTGAATCCTTGAGAGCATTGACACGACTTGTCCACACAAATCAAATTTCTCGTTTCATTCAAATTACAGTCAATGTCTTTCACACAAAAACCATTAAAACCACGAATCAATTGACACTCTTGAGTGTTGCTGTCATATGTGAATCCTTGATCACAAACGCACCGGTAGTTCCACTCATTCGTGTGTAGGCACCGGACGTGTTCACCTGATTGACAATAAAATTATCAACAAGTGGTCAGAAGATGTAATAGCATATGATATTAGATACCTTTGCAATGGAAATCATATCTACAGTAATTGAGTTCCGAGTTAAGACTACCCACCCGTTGCGGTTCGCATCGGCCAAAGTTGTGGTCATAATATTGATGTTTAGGGCACTGTTGAGGAAAGCAGAACCTCTTGTCGATGACATACCAGTTGCCAGGTTTACAGCGACACATCTGTGATGTCTGGTCACAGTCGGCGCCCATTTCGTCCTCACATCCGTTTACCGTATATTTCTGGTAATCACATGAAGTCAACTGTGTCTGACTCATACCGATGGACAACAAGTGGCCGACAAACACAACAATTGATAAATATTTCATTGTTGAGACACTAATGACTATAACAAATGATCATAATTTCAATAACTTTGGGATCAATTTCATGTGATAATCAAATGTCAAAAACAATGTTTGAGTTATTGTTTGTTTACTTTAACTTTGATTTCATAACTTTAAAAGTATTTCATAACAAAAGTTAACTTTAAGTTTGTTAACAAATGTTATGTAAAATTGTATTCAAAACTCAAAACATTTACTTCAATGACTGCTTTAGTGACTCATATCTGGGACTCAATAATAATAATAGTTTTCACAAAAGCATAGCATTTAATACATAACTCCTCTCTAGAGTTAACACTAATTGCCAGTCAATTGAATGTATGTTTGATTACATTATGTAAAGTATAGCACAAAGGGTTCATCTCATGCCATGTAATTGAACCCATCCTTCTGTATATACATAGCTATCCGTCAAACTTTTATTTGACTATTATTTTGATTGAATAGTCATTGAATTCAATTAAAATACTAATTTTTTTTTAAAATTCACATTAGTTCTCAAATTGAGATAATATGAGCTCAACTAATCATTAATTGACCGCACAGTTAGCATTGATATTATAAATATATATAAGTTATATAGTATTTAATAACATTGAAATACAATATTGTAAATAATTTATTACATTGAGTATAATTTTAAATAAAAATTTAAGTACTCTTTAGTATAAAAATTATTTTTTTTTGTTTTGTTTTGTTAGTCAAACAAGTGTTTTATTAATAAAATCTCTGTTTATTCATTGAATTTATTAGTTATTATTAATTAGACTATAAATGAGTGCACATATCACTGATCAGTCATTCAATTGCTTCTATAGACACACTTAACACTTCGTTCATTAAATATTATAAAACATATATTGAAAGAAATTATTTATTATAATTTATATAAAAAAATATTTAATTAATTATATCGATATTCAGCAATAATCATGAGAGAGATAGTGCACATCCAGGCCGGTCAGTGCGGCAATCAAATGGGATCTAAGTTTTGGGAAGTAATTAGTGAAGAACACGGCATTGATCCRACCGGTCATTATAAGGGTGACACCGCTATACAGTTGGAGCGCATCAATGTCTACTATAACGAGACTTCAAGTAAGTTAGCAACAAATTAATCAAATTCTATGTCATATAACCTACCGATGCTTTTAGATGATGTATATGTTCCCCGATCGGTACTACTGGACTTAGAGCCGGGAACCATGGATGCGGTCCGTTCGAGTGCTTTTGGCCAACTGTTCCGTCCCGATAACTTTATTTACGGTCAAAGTGGTGCGGGAAACAATTGGGCAAAAGGTCACTACACTGAAGGTGCCGAACTCGTGGACCGTGTGTTGGATGTGGTTCGCAAAGAGAGCGAATCCTGCGACTGTTTGCAGGGCTTTCAATTGTGCCATTCATTGGGTGGCGGAACCGGTTCTGGTATGGGAACACTTCTTGTGTCTAAAATTCGTGAAGAATATCCCGACCGTATTATGAATACATTCAGTGTTATGCCATCGCCTAAGGTTTGTTTAACAAGTGTTAAACAAATATCAATATATTATATAATTTGATTATTAGGTGTCGGACACAGTGGTGGAGCCTTACAATGCAACTCTGTCTATCCATCACTTACTAGAAAACACCGATGACACTTTTTGTATCGATAATGAGGCTCTTTATGATATTTGCTTCCGAACCCTCAAACTACCGACCCCTACGTATGGTGATCTCAATCACTTAGTTTCATTGACAATGTCTGGTGTAACTACATGTTTGAGATTTCCGGGTCAATTGAATGCCGATCTCCGCAAACTGGCCGTCAATATGGTTCCATTTCCAAGACTACACTTCTTTCTTACATCATTTGCTCCGTTGACATCTCGAGGATCGAGACATTATCAGTCATTTAGTATTCAAGACTTGACTCAACAAATGTTTGACGCCAAGAATATGATGGCTGCTTGCGATCCAAGACATGGAAGATATCTAACTGTTGCCACAATATTTAGAGGCAGAATGTCTATGAAAGAAGTGGACGAACAGATCAATCACATTCAAAATAAAAATAGCAATTATTTCGTTGAATGGATTCCTAATAATATGAAAACAGCTGTTTGTGATATTCCTCCGAAAGGTCTAAAAACTGCCGCCACTTTCATTGGTAACTCGACGGCAATTCAGGAAATTTTCAAACGTATATCACAACAGTTCACAGCAATGTTTAGGAGAAAAGCTTTCCTTCATTGGTATACCGGTGAGGGAATGGATGAAATGGAGTTTACTGAAGCAGAGTCTAACATGACTGACCTGATCTCAGAGTATCAACAGTACCAAGAGTTGACTAATGATGATGAGGGAGAATTTGATGAAATTGAGGATCAATACGCTGACTAACGTATCAATTGTCAAATATTTGTTTTGATAAACTTTTTATTAATGTTTTTATATTTTTATATTTAATAATTAACTCTTTTTAATGTTTGTATTTATATATATAACTTGATGTATAGATACAAAAATAAAGCTAAATTTTAAATAATAAATTGTTGAATGACTTCATTGAGCCGGTAAAGAGATACTAGTTTTGCGTTGATTATTGGTCTGACTTTTGAGTTGTGTCCCTCGTTTCGGATAATGAGGTATAGTCTTCTCGACCATTGTTACGCAATCAATGATAGGACACACACTAAGACATAGCGTACAACCGGTGCACTCATCCGTTACAAATGGTAAATGAGTTTTGCTATCAAATGTAATCGCTTGATATCCCGAGTCATTACATGTCATATAACATTTGCCACAATTAATGCACATATCCTACAAATTTAATTAATTCCTAATTAAATGTTGTTTTAATTATAATTTAATAATTGAATACCTGATCAATAAGTGCCACTTTTTGTTGTGTTATATCTAATTCATTAAATGTGCCGATTCTTGTAAGTGATAATCCAATTAAATCCTATAATAAATATAAATTATAATTAAATCCTATAATTATAAAAAAATTGAAAGAAAAATTACGTTAATTTTTGAAACTTCTTTTGTCGGCTTATTTATAATTCTGTCTTTTGGAGGAATTAAATCATCGGTCAATAAATCGATATTTTGTTTGATATCTCCAACTAATTGTTCCCTTTGTTTCTTATAGGGACCAAATGCCGGTAATTTTTGCTCAAATATTTGAATAGGTTTTCCTTTTTGATGTTTTGGAGTGAGAGGCGACTGTCCCATCCATTCAGACGTTTCATCAATACTTCTCAAATAAAGAGCTGCCTTTAATCCAGTCATATAGTCTTCAATAACAGTAAAATCTTGGTTTTGAATTGAACTACAAATCTATAATTGAATGATATATTTTAAATAAAATAAAACAATAATTAATTATTTGTCACAAACCTGTAGTACTGAAGCTCCTGCATATAAAAACTCAAGGCCGACATCAGCTGAATCTATACCTCCCGTCGCTAATATTGGAAATCCTGGTAAAGCTCTCGCAATCGCAGATACAGCTCTCAAAGCTTGAGGTTTGATGGCATTACCAGAAATGCCTCCATAAGTCGTACGTTTTTCTTTGCCAATGGCTGGCCAGGGAGTGCCGTCGCCTTTGAGGTCCATTAAACCAGAAACCGTATTGATTGCGGTCACACCGTCGGCTTTTCCTAAAATATCAAATTAATAATTATTGTAAAATATATTATTTCAAATTTATACCATCTTTCGCTGCATTAGCGATGTCCACAATATTAGTAACATTTGGAGTCATTTTAGCAAAAAAAGGTATTTTGACCGCTTGTCTGACCCAAAGACATATATTTTTGACTAATTCTGGATCCTAACAATCATTTTTAAAAACAAAATACAGTAATTATTATAATTTAATGCAAATTGTTATACCTGTCCACATGCCATTCCCATTCCACGTTCACCCATACCATGAGGACTACAAATTTTATAATAGATTTATAAATAYTTATACAAATATATATATATATATAAAAACTATAATATATATAAAACATTTATCAAATACCAGCTTAAGTTCAATTCAATGGCATCGGCGCCGGCTTTTTCTGCATTAGAGGCCAACTCAATCCAGTCTTCTTTAACAAACGTAGCCATTATACTAGCGATAATTATATGGTCGGGAAAATCTCGTTTAATTTCGGTAATAGTCTGATACCAATAGTCGGCTGTTTTTTCACTTATTAATTCAATGTTAAGAAATGATCCCAAACCGGGTCCATACATATGACCCGATGTGGTTCCTCTCACAATACGAGGGGAAACATTAGTGACCAGATTTTTGTCTAAACTAAATGTTTTGGTTAAAGCAAAAGCCCAACCGGACTCAAATGCACGCCTAATCATAGGTCCGCTAGTAGTTGGCGGAGCACTGGCCAAACCAAATGGGTTTTTGAATTTAAGTCCACACATCTCAACACTTATGTCTACTAAATCAATGGGTGTATAAAATCGAGGCATTTCTATATTTCCTATAATTTGATTATTATGTTTGCTTTGAATATATTTATGCATATTATAAGCGGCTGTCTTTCCATCGTTTACCGCTTCTACAGTAGTCTCGGAAACTCCAGCAATGTCTCCGCCAACAAACACCCACTCCTCACTAGAAGTCATCGATTTTGTGTCAACAATTGGTTGACCATATTTTGTTAGTTTCAAAGGAGATAATGCATTGATAATTAATGTGTCAAACAGTCCCGAACCAAATGCCGATATAATAAAACTAGTCTTCAATTTGACCACTTGTTCAATGTCTTCGACACAATTTCCATTGTCATCGACTTCTGTTCTGAAGAATTCCATCGAAACAATTTTGTTTCCTTTGACTATCACTTTAGTTGGCGACAAAAACGGCAAAAATTCACATCTTTCTTCACGAGCTAATTCCATCTATATATCAATCAATTAATATTTAAACTAAAATTATTTAAGTAATACTAACTTCTTCAGGAACGGCTCTAATATTAGTGAATCCACGTCTAAATACAATAAATACACGTTTGGCACCACATCTTAATGCAGAAGTGGCGCAATCAAAGGCTGTATCTCCAGCTCCCAACACAATGACATTACCATAAAGTGATGGCAATTTTGGTCCAATACAGGAACACATCCCGGATTTACTAGCGGTAGTCACAAGTGGTAGAAAGTCTTTGGAAGTATAGAATCCCTGTTCAATAGTCAACTCCTTAAATATTTCCAATCGTTTAGGTTCTGGTAAACCAATGCCAACAAAAACACATTCAAATTTGTGATCATTTTTAAGAGATTCGAGTGTATAGTCATTTCCAAGAGCTTTATTCATCWCTATCTTAACCCCCAAATCCTTCATTAATTCTACTTCAAAGGCAACCACACTATAAGGAAGTCTGTATTGAGGAATTTCAGATGAACTTAATCCTCCAATAAATGACTTTTTCTCAAATATAGTAATGTCATGATAACCGAGTCGAGCCAAAAATGTGGCGCAACTGATACTGGATGGACCACAACCTATTAGACCTATTTTAGTGGTGTATGACTTTGGAAGTGCTTCTATTGGCGGCAAATGTGGTGATCGTATTTGAGGCAATTTCATTGCTTTAAATGTCTACAGTTTTGTTTAATATATAAAAATGTATGATATTGTATATTATTGTTAAGATTTTGTTAAATTTATTAAACAAATTACAAACAATACCTCAGTTGCAAATTGTTGAAGACCTCCAATATTAATGGGTCCCTCTTCTGTTGCATATAAATTACATCCACCGACACAAAGATCACTTGTAGGGCAAACCATACCACAAGTCAATCCCAAAGGATTATCTGAAAGTATCTCTTTTGCCGCCCCGTAATAATTCTAGACATTTATGTGTATTACAATTACCGGTAATTGTCATTTAAAATGTTTTTAAAATTATGAACAATTACCTTATTAGCAATCATTGAAATAAATGCCTTAATATCGATTTGTGTGGGGCACCCCTTTTGACAGGGGGCGTCTGCACACTTGAGACATCGGGACGCCTCCCGGAGAGCTCCTCTTTCGCTTAAAGTCGTGTGTTTTATGTCATCAAAATTATTTGTTAGACTACATGTCTATAAATTTTAATAAATAATTTTTAATAATCGATAAATATTTTTCAATTTTGTTTTATCTTACGTTACAATTCTTGTCATTATTTCTTTTCCAATGCTTTTTATTAAATTTAGTATCAATACTGGGGACTACTTTCGCAAATTTATTAACTTTTGGATTCAATGCCAACAAATTCTGTTTATTAGTAAATTAAATACAGTATTATTTGGATAAAAATATTAAATCAATTCCAATTATAAAAAATTATTTAAATCAATTAAATATATATAATATATATAATTATTCAATAATATATAAAGTTATAAAATCTTTTTTGATTAAAAAATATATTTATATATTTAATCTAATGTAATCTTGTTACAAAAAAAWTATTAATAAAATATTAATTATTAAACCACAACTTAAATTTTAGAGTCCAATATATTTTTATAATTTAAAATATAATATTATATGTTATTTATATATTTTATAAAATATTGTATTATTTTATCTATATCATTATGCCATTAATTTCAAGTAATTTTAATACAGTATAATATATTCTGGTTTATGTGATTGACTTATATTTGATTTAATTTGTATATAACAATAATAAATAAATGTTATGCAATACTTTACCTCAATATCAGGTGAATCCCTACTAAAAGACATTTTCGAAAATACTTTAAAACTTTTTTCTAATTAATAAATGATACTAAAATTGTTTGCAAATAAAATTGCTTTAAAGACTCATTAATTAAATAAATTATACGATTCAACACTTAAGATAAATGTATAAAAACGTATTCACAGTTTCAACTTATAGAAAGAAAGTCCATGAATTGAAATCATTTTTTTCAACACAAGGACTGTCCAAAAGTGAATCTCAATGATACCAATGAGTAAACTTTGACGACAATCAATGATACTATTGGTATATCCAATATGTTAGACAAAGAGACTGACTGTTGCCAACAACATTCACTTATTTGTATCATTTAATCACTAATAGTATTAATATAATAAATAGTGTTTTAATAAACTACTCTATTATACAAACTCAATAATCAGTACAACTCATCAATTTTCATGATATTGTGATATTTCACGTGAATTAGGTTAATAGTTAAACTGTGAGAGAGTTTTTTATTATATCGGCCGATGTCGGCTACTAATGATATCACATTTACTCAGTTTAATTTATTTGATTATTATGTATAACGTGATGTTATATGATTTCAAGGTTCCATAATGTATTGCAGTTATAGGTTTGTTTTGATAATTATTTATTTAGTACATAAGGTGTATACATAGTTATTGGGGTTTAACAATGTAGTTGTTGGTTTTGGTTTTATATCCAATGTTTATAAGTTTAGTTTAGTTAGTAAAAATATAGYTATTTGATTGGAAACAGAGTGATTACGCTGAAAGACGTCATAGAATATGATTTTTTCAGAGTAAAGAGAGTTAGTCGTTGACAAACTCTCGGAGAGTTCTCATCAAGTCTTCAGAGTGAATAGACGTGAAGTGATATATTCTAGTTGTAATTTATACTCGAAACACATAAATAAAGGGATTTAACACAACTAAAGAGTAAGTTTTTCGAGGGGCTCGGGCCTTTGGCCCTGAGTCCCTTAAGAAAACGTAAGCCCGCGAATTGAATTAATTGTTAATTGTGTAAGTAATTATTCACGGCAGTGTAAGTATAATTAATAGAGTTAATTATGTAAGTATTGTGATAAAGGAGTGAAACACAAACGGAAACTACATCGGCAACTCAGTCGGATTCAACTATAAGTAAGTTTGAGTTTAAAGTATGCCAATCTGCGGGAGCGTAGGTTCGGCATGTATTATGTCTGCCTATGGGAGCATAGGTAGGACATGTAGAGTATGCCGACCTGCAGGAGTGCAGATAAGGCTTTGATCCGAGGCAAACCTCGGATCAGGGTATAGTTTCAGACTGAAATAGTCAGTCTTAGGTGTAATGGATAACAGTAATGTTATCTAAAGGTTTGTCTCTCGGTGGAAACACCGATCGAGACATAGTTTTAGTAGGTAACAGTAATGTTACCTTAAGGTAAACACCGATCGAGACATAGTTTTAGTAGGTAACAGTAATGTTACCTTAAGGTTTGTCTCTCGGTGGAAACACCGATCGAGACATAGTTTTAGTAGGTAACAGTAATGTTACCTTAAGGTTTGTCTCTCGGTGGAAACACCGATCGAGACATAGTTTTAGTAGGTAACAGTAATGTTACCTTAAGGTTTGTCTCTCGGTGGAAACACCGATCGAGACATAGTTTTAGTAGGTAACAGTAATGTTACCTTAAGGTTTGTCTCTTGGTGGAAACACCGATCGAGACATAGTTTTAGTAGGTAACAGTAATGTTACCTCAAGGTTTGTCTCTCGGTGAAAACACCGATCGAGACATATTTGCGGAATGTAATAGTTAAATAATGGGTTTAGATCTATGAAAACATAGACTAAGTAGTAGTTCTGACTGAAGAGTCGGATATAGGTTAAGTATAATAGAGTGAAAAATCGGTATGTATTGTATGTGAGTGTTGTGAGAGTAGGTAGTAAATAACAACGTCAAACAACGAAGCAGCGGAACAAACGACGGGATCGGGACGACTCAGCGTAGATAAAGCTAAGTGAGGTTTTATTTAAGCGTTGCGATCGATGTCGTTGAGGGTGTCATCATCTTGGAGGTGATGATCCGTGTAGCTTTCGTGTCAACTTTACCGCTGGAGAAGGTGATAGTATGCGCGGCTTTAACAGAGAACTATCTCTGAACCTATATTTGTGAATCACCACACGGAAATTGCTACAATATGTTTCACTTTTCATTAAAAATATAATATTTAAAAAATAAAAATTTTTATTATTTTCTATACTCTATTCGATTAAATTACTATTACATAATAGTAAAAATATATATTAATTATTATGATAAATTATATTACAGCTGTAGTGAAATACATTATTTATATTATTTTTATACTCAATAAAACCTTTAATAATGATCTTGGTCATATGATACAATATAACGTATTAAATAAAACTGATATCCTTATTTAGTATTAGTATAAAGTAAAATATCAAATAAAACAAACATAATATATTAGATAAACATTGATATCTAATAATTTATATTAATAATACTGTATTTACTAATGAATTATTTTAATAGTTTTTAATAATTAATTTAAAATAATAGATTAAAAACTTTATTAGAATCTATTATTTTAATTTAAGATAACTAAAATATAAAATTTATTAATAAGTTATGAAATACAATTTTTGTAATTTAAAAATCTTAATTTAATAACAGTAATAATTATAAATTTATAATCAATAATTATATTACTTATTATGAAATTTAATGACAATTGGGCTAATTTTTATCAGAATTACTGTATGATGTTTAGGTTTTTTAAAAATGTTTTCGTTATTATCGGTAATATCATTATAATTATTACAAATTATTACTATTACTTCATTAATTATAGTTTTTGCTAATTATTCTCTATTACTTATGTATAATATAATAAAAAAAAAATACAATTTATGAATTTAAAAAAATTCAAAACGGTTCCGGTTCAGTATCTGAAAAATCTTAGGTTTCGATATCTATTTTATATAAACAGTTTACTTATTTTACACAACTTTTGATACTATAGAATACTGATAATAATGATACAGTATTGTATATTATGACATATAAATKGGTGATAAATTTTGTCATAATTTTTAAATAAAATTTAAAAATTATCTTTAATTTTATTAATATCAATGTTAATTATTTTAATATTAATTATTTAAAAATAAAATTACAAAAAATAATTACAAATAATATAATGTGATTGATTTAAGTATCAGAGATGAAAATTTAAAAATAATTATGAAATTATGTTGAATTAGATTTTTGGAGGTTTCTTAACAAAAGCCATCGCTTTATTTGGATGAGAGTTCTTGTGGTGCTCTTTAGCATCTGATGTCTTCTCAAATCTTCGGTTACAGTTTGAGCATATAATACGATAATTGTCTTCAAGTGCTTCGTCGTCGGAATCTATTTCTCTAACTCTAAACAAATGTCAATCAAATCTATCAATCGGTAAACTGTATAATTATCACCTATTAATTATAATGTCCTAAACATGACTTACCCGTTAGCACTGGAATTACTAGCGGTTTCTCCTAATCGACTCATAGCCTCTTTAATACAACTCAATTGTTTACTAAATGTGTCGATATTTTTGTTGGTTCTATCGATATGACTATCGGTAATCTCTGATGCATTTACTTCACTGTCAGAACTGGCAGTTTCTTCGGACTCTTTGTTATTATTCTTTAGAATTTGAAACCTATTATTAGTTTTTTCATAATCAATGGTATTATTATTTGATAAATTACTAACTATTTGGTTGCGTTTGGCCTCATATTCTTTATACTCTTCTAAATACTTATTCAGATCATTGTTTGGGAGTCTCTTAATCTCAACATTCCATTGCTTATCATTCGTACTCTTGAGTAAATTTTTGTAATGACTTTCTTTAAGATCAGTTAACATTTTCCTTATAATAGTTTCCACAAATTCGTGACCATTTGTTTCAATCAATTTGTGTTCAAGTATTTGTCGCTCATCTGATAATAAGATGTCTGAAGATTCCGAGTCAAATGACAACAAAAACTTAAACTTTTTCTTATTGATGTTTGAATAGTGATTAACAACCAAATGTTTGACAACAAGTGCATCACAATTAGGTAAATATATTGAACAAAGTTTGCATTTAACTGATAACCAACAGCTGTGTTGCCACAAATGGTTGCGAATATCTGAAAATTGTTCGTAACGTTTGGCAATTCTTTTATTAACTTTAGCTAATTTGACACAAAGGGGACAATTGTAATAAACACTTCGCTTATCCATATCATCTGACTGTTCATATGAACACAACTGTTCTTGTTTTAGAAGAAAGTGTTGACTCCATTTCGAAACCTTTTTACACCAAAAGTGACTTATCTGTTGACCGGACATATGTCCCTCAATGTGTTTCTTCGCCGATTCGATATCTTTAAACAATTCATCACAAAATAAACAAATTATATTCTTTTGGATCAATTCATGACTAGAATTTGACTCATTTTGTTTATCAATTGTTTCAATACGTAATCGTTTTGTTTGGTTCTCATTATTGTCATCTATTTTTCTTTTGTTTTTCTCACCATTGATTCGTACTTCTGCTTCAATAGTGGATGAAATACTATTATCTTGCGGTTCTTGTTTTGGTTGATTAATGGGCACATAAGAGTCATAATTGATGAAATCCATGACTAAAGAAGATGCAGATAATGAGACCTGTGGTTCGGGTATATAATAAAGAATTGGATAATCGGGATGTTTGTCGACACTGTGTTCAACCACTTTGTTGATGTCTTCGTTCAAAAAATGACAATAAAGACACTGAAAGTAGGTTTCATTTTTTCCTTCGCTATTCAAACGAATTGGATTTTTACAGTTTTCATAAAAGTCTTTCAAATTTGGAAATTTCGTGTCTTCAGTAATTGACTGACAAAAATATATCTTACAAATGGTGTCATTAGAAGACACAAGTTTTCCATCAATTGTTTTTTGATAAAGAAATTTGTGGTGTTTTTTCTGATGAATTATTACATGATCTTCAGTGATGGCTCTATAGAGACACAAATTGCATTGAAATCTTCGAAAGCGATGTCTTTTTATCATATGTTTCAACAAATATCGGTTGTTATACTTCTTGAGTCGGGAAAAGCTCATCAGTTCGTAACAATACATACAAAAGAGTTCTTCTTCAGAGTGTTGATCATTCAGATGAGTAAAGTAATTGATCTCTGAATGTCTTGTGGCAAAACATCGATTGCCATTACTATCACTTTGTTTGACCCAATTTTTGGTACATTTATAGAAATTGCATAAACTTCTGTCGGTTTTTGTCAGTTTGGTGTCGACATCGATGACCACCACTTGCGGTGTCTTTTCRTCGTCATTACATCGGTATTGTCCGATAAATGCCGGAATYAATGGCCTATTTCTTGTTGTAATGTCTTCAGCGACCGAATCGACAATCACATCGCCATTCATTGGAGGCATCGCTGTCATCGTCAACACAACCATTGATTTCAATGTTTATATATCATAACTGATCCAATAGTTGAACAATTGGTGATAACTTAAGCAAAACATCAATCATATCGTAAAACAAATAAATAATATTATTATTTGTGTTATGTTTTACACAATAATTGCTTTATATTTACTACAGTTTATAATAAATACAATCGTTTACATCAACCGAAATTCAAAATTCATTGTATTTTTTTGTAGTTTAAATGTATAGAAATTTATCGATAAGTGTCTACAAAATTCTTAATAAGAATGGATTAAATAGAATATTATACACAAACAACGTAATGCTTATAGGAGTTAATTGTGTAAATAATTACGTTTAAATGTATTAAATATTAAAGTTAGGGATCCAASAAATAGTAAAGTTGGTAACGTCATATTTGTATTATTTAAATAATATTATTTGTAAAGACATCTAGTGTTTAAAAAATGTTTGAAAAATATATATATAAAGTTAATAATAGTTTTTAATTTAGTGGACAAAAATTATATCACAGTTTAAATTTTATAATTAAAATTAACTTATTATAACAATTTATTTATGAGTTTAAAAATGTAAAAATGATTAAGTCAAAATCAATTAATTTATAATGTTATAATTATTGTTAAAAACTAATTATTCAATGAATATTTTTAAATAATTTTATTGTTATTTGATAGTTAAATATTTCTATTTTAGTTTTGCTAATTTCAAACTAATAATCAATATCTAAAATAATTGTAATTTTAGTTCAAATAACTAACATTTTAATTATTATAACTTTAATTTGATAATTATTATAATATTTAATGAAAGTTGGCTAAAGTTTTAGTGAATTCCCATTGTTGTTGTTTGATTGAAGAACAGGTACCATTGACCCAACCGGTAGGACCGGTACACTCTCTGTCTCTATTAAGAGCCCAATAGGAAACTCTTCCCAATTTCTTTTGGTTGGCGTAATCAACGAGTTTTCTGAAAGTGTCGACAGTATATAACTCGGACGGTTGGTCTGTGTGTCCGTTCATTAATATAAGACCAGTTGCACCGTAGACTTGTTGGTCATTCAAATCTTTTCTTAATACTTTAAGTTGGTTGTGAACGTCTTCCATAATAGTAATAACACTATTGACCTGATCAGCTCCGGGACCACCATAATCAAAAGCCCTAATATATTAATATATATATATATATTATATAATATAATATATGTTATAAACAGTTAGTTAATGAAAAATTAGTAAAACCGACATAATTTTGTAGAGATCAATCTGAGCCCCGTCTTCAACACCCCTCTGTATTTCACTTTTTCCTAAATCACTTAAACCTACTGTAGTTGAGGGCAAAGTCAATGTAACGAACAGTTGTTTTCCATTAGATTTTGCCTTTTGTTTCAATAATTTGATTGCTTTAAACCTTTGATGTTCTTCGGGAACATTGCCGAGATTGTCGTGTTCGACATCGAAGTCCACATTTGTCAGTTGATATTTGTCGATCACTATTTGAATAGCATTRGCTAATGAGTTGACGTCGTGACACGCGTGACCCAAATCAACACCATTATAGCCACCAAAAGACACGGACACATCACCTCCAGCCGCACGAATGGTCTTTACTTTTGCTAAAACTTTGGTGTCGTCGGCAATCTTTATAATATAAAATATCGTTTTTTATTTTATTTATTTATTTTAAACTTAAGTTCAAACCTTTTGATTAGGATTTCCATCCCAAGTGGGAACACATTGACCATCATTAGTGGCCAAAGCAAATGCTAATATAAATTGTTTGACACCTGTTTCCCGTATTATGGCCGCAATATCCATATTCTCTCCATTATTATCGAGTGGCATATAATATGGTGCCGCACGAAGACYAGCACCGATGACCATCGATACCAAAGATAGAGTTAGAGCTGTTATACTTAAGACAGACATTTTGCTTGTAATTCGTGTGGAAAACAATTAAAATTTTCATTGAATTTGTTGGCATTTTTATATAATAATTGTGTAATCAATTTGATTAAATGTTATGTGAAAATATCATTTGTTGTTTAGTCTTTTTTATTGATATAATATCTGATTTTATTTTATCTATTTGTTTAAGTATTTTAACAAATAGACTCCTAACTAAACAGGTAACTATTTTAYATARCGTTATCGGTTTTGTTGTATACAAAGTATACGGTATATTACTATTTAATTGATTACAAATTAATGTTAAATAATTAGTTTATTAGTAATATTAATTTACTAAATAAATAAAATTTAGCAATTAAAACAAATATTTAAATTATTGCTAATATTATTTTTTAAATTTTATTTATTTTCCGGATATTTTATAAATTGAAAATTGAATTTTTAATATGTTAGCGAACTATAGTATAGTCTGAAAGTACAGTATATTGTATACGGTTTTACTTTTAAATTAAATTCTTAGAAATAACATATTAATGATTAACAATCATTGATTATTAATTATCGTTGAGTTTAAATAATATTTTACAAGTCATGTGTTACAACTATTATAAAATCCGATAATTAAATAAATAAATATCACATTTGAAAAAAGATTTATTAACTTAAATTAAATGAAATAAAAATATATATTATTAAATCAATATGTTTTTAATGTTCTTTATTATAATTTTATCTAATATATTACTACATAACTCATATTATTTAATTAGTTAATTTCAGATAACAATTTCAATAAGTATTTTTTATATCAATTATTGTTAATTAAATAATTCAAAATTTTAAATTAATTTTTGCATTTTATATTAATATTTAGTAATAAAATACAGTCATAAATTAATATATAAAAATTAATTACAATAAATAATTAATAGTTTATTATTTTTGCAGAATATTTCTACAGAATATTCCTTTTTTATTAACTATTAGTTTACAAATGTATGCATTGAACACAAAATCCCTAAAAATTATTAGTATTTCTGTATATTATAACAGTTTGTATACAAACTTTGTATACAAAACACAACATATGATACCATAAAGTGATTATTGAATGAAATGTCATTTAATTATTATATAATAAAAACATCAAATTTAGAGATTTATTTGAGTATTAAAATCAATTGAATGAGATATCACTGCATTTGGTATAGATTTTTGGTAACACATTGATTGGTTGCGACAATGAGTGGATCAGCTAAAGCCGTCATTACAGTCAATGACTTATTGGATGAATTGGTTAAAGAAAATGAACGACTTTTGGGTCAATTGAACATCACTTTGGATTTGATCCGATTATGTGAAGACTACAAACAATTTGTTGTCGACTTTTGTCTTCATTGTCGTTGTGGTGACCGACAGAAATACGAAGATATCATCGATCGACTTGACTCTCAATATAAAACTATTATTAAAGATAATTGTGACAAATCAGAGACAATATTGACTAAAAATAACAATCAAATGAGTGATGAGTTAATTGATGGCAAAAAGTTAGCGAAAAATAAAGTGAAACGAAGTCAAAGACATGACTTTATTAAACCAAAACCTATTTATAGTAATATCAATAATGAGTGCAATAGTCAAACAAAGAGGAAAATTATCGGCTATTTATGTAATTACGGAAATTGCAATTACCGAAACTGGTCAAAGGGTAATGTTTGCCGACACGTCTCGAAAATGCATTTAAACAAACGGCCACTAATTTGCCGCGAATGCCGACAAACGTTTTGGGGACAAAAACGATTGCTTGAACACAGAAAAATCAAACACATGGATCAACTGATATATAATAGTAACCGAAATGTTTACAAATGTGATTATAATGGATGTGTTTATGAGTGTAAAAGTTTGTCAAATTTAAATCAACACAAACGCAGACATATCGGCGATAAACCATTCAAATGTCTGGTCGAAGATTGTTTGTCTTCATTTGTTACAAAAAGTGAACTCAAAACTCATAACATTAACATTCATAGCAATGAATATCCCTTTATATGTCATTTGGATGGATGTCTTGAGGCGTTCAAGACTAAGGAACGTCTCAAATGTCATACTTTTATACATACAAATGAGTGGCCATTTGTTTGTGAGTGGTATGTCTTCATTTGATTAATTTATTTGAAGATTTATTAATATTTTAATACTCATTTCATAGGCCCGGATGTGATGCTAAATATGCCAAAAATTCAGATTTAAGAGTATTTTACATTTTGTTACAATTGTTTTCATTATTTTTTTTAATATATGATAATTGTTTTCATTTGTTTGCAAAAAAATAGTTGCATCGGTTATGTATTCATTGTCCAGAAAAGCCGTACCCGTGTGAGTGGCCGGGATGTGAGTCGACATTTAAAACAAAAAATGGTAGACGACTTCATAATTTTACACATACCGGTTTGTCATCTAATATATAATTTTTTTTTAGTTATAAATATAATTTTTAATAAGATATATTCAGTAAATAATAATTTTATATAAATGTTTAACAATAGGTGAAAGACCTTATAGATGCGAATGGCCGGGTTGTGAGGCCAGTTATTATATGATATCCAAATTGAATCGACACAAACTAAGTCATAATGGTATAAAAAGATACCAGTGCTCGTGGCCCGACTGCACCATGAAATATAGTACGAGTCATAATTTGAAACTGCATTTAATGGCCCACAGAAATGATAGGCCATATGTTTGTGACTTTGCTGACTGTCAGCGACGGTTCACCGATAAGTCKCAAATGAAAAGACATTTTAAGAAAGTCCACAAAAGTGATACTAAATAGATATTTATTATTATTGTTGTTTCGTTTATATTGTTTTAAGTTTATTTTAAATAATTTTTATTGAAATTTTAATGTTRTTGTAGATTTTATTATACTGTATAATGTAATTTTGAAAATGATATATTAACAAAAATAAATATGAAAAATTTCACTTTTTTTTGTTTATAAGATAAAATAAAAAACTAAAAATCAATATACTATTCTTTATATTATACAGCATTGTTGGGTTAAATCAAATTTCAATATTACATAAAAATATACAAATATAAAAAAATGCTAAAGGTTATTTTGCATTTCTATTTATTATATTATAATAATAATAATAATTTTTATATCATGTTATACTGTATATAAAACATTAAATCTTACGGAATGATATATATGTTGATAAAAATAGAAATGTTTTATTGTCAATAAAATTATTTTATTTCATTATCTAGAATAGTATTTATTTATTTTTTATTAAAAAATATTCAAAATTAATTAAAAAAATTGTGTATTCAGTGTTTTAAACATTAATTTGAAAGCATTTGCATTTAATTCTTAAAAATATTTTTTTTATTTAATTCTAAATCAAAAGTCAATTAAATATCTGTTATTTCAAAAGCACTAAATTTAAGCAATAATTCATTTTAATGATCTCAGTATAAGATAAGTTATATACAGTATTAAACAATTCAATGAATGTCAAAATTAATGTGAAATATTAATAATTATTTTATTAATAATATTTTTTTGAATATTTGTTCAGACATTGTTTGCTAAAAATTAAATCATATAATTCATCACTTTTTCCTCTATAATTGAATTTAAATCAACTATAAATAATCGCAGTCTTTCCAAATAACTATACATAAAGTGATTAAATATTGAATAAAAACAATAATATCTRATATAATGTATGGCAAAGATTTTATTATATATGTTGTATTTTTAGCAATTTTATCATTCAATTCAATTAATTGCATAAACGATGGAAATAATAATAATAACGACAATACTATAGAAAAATTGAGAAATATGTTCGTCAAGAGATGCGATGACAGCCTATCTGAAGACATGTCTAAACAATACGATAAATGCGATTCAGATGTCAGCGATTCACTCAAAGGTGTGACCATTTGATTGATTATAAGAAAATATAATTATTTAATAATTATTTTCATTTGTTTAATACGATTATCGCTAAGAAACGGTCAAAAACTGTGCTAAAGATCTTTGTAAAGACAAGTCAAGCAAAATGGATGTCTGYTGTTATACTGTTAAACCCAATGTAAGTCATGTTTAATAAATATATAATGAATCTGAATATAAAGTTATAATATTAAAAATTTATAAATGCATAATATATTGTAATCACTATTTTTATGGCAAAATCATAGCAAATGTTTGCCTGTTTTGAGAAAAATATTCATCAAAATGAGGTAAAAGAGGCCAACAAAAAGGGTGAAACCATCGATGAATTTCATCGCAAGAATGTTCACAATGCGGCAAAAATTATGGTAATGTTTTGTCTTATCTAATGTCATATGAATTAACATCTTATTTAAATCTCATACAAACAACACCCACTTTATCTACTATTAGTTGCTTTTCATATACAGTAAAAGTGAAACCAAAATATATTTGCAAATAAATTTAAATGTTTGTATTTTTTATTAATCATAGGAGTGTTATGAAGAAATAGATGATGACGACGATGACGACGACTAAGTTATGAGACAAATAAATTATATGAAAACAAAATTATAACAAAAATGTTTTTAATGTTTACTGTTATATATTTAGAAACAATTATTATAGAAAACTAATATTTTGACATTTTTCATGTTTTTAATAGAATTATTTATTATTTTAATGGATAATATTATTGGATTATGTATTTTATCAATTAATACAATGAATAATAAAAATAAATAGTTTTTAATATGCATTTTAGTAGACATTATTGTGTGATATTTTTCATTATAGTTTAAATGTATTGCTATAACTATAGTACAATATTTATTCAACACATTTATTGATTTGGCAATAATAGGGAAAAAGCCATAAATAAAATCTTTCAAAGCGTTGACATAACTTTGGGCCAAATCAATACCATATAATAGTCGACCGATAAATAATTGACATTTTTCTCAAAATCTCTTTTAATTTTTCTTTTAATATATATATATATATATATATATCGACACAATCTTCAGAAAATAGATTTTTATAGTTTGATTCATAAATACAATGTAATAATTTGAATCATTTAGTAACATTGYTATTGATGTTATATTTGTATAATAAATTAATGCAAATCTTTATATAATATAAATTTATATAAATGTCAATCGACTTATATTTTTATACTATTCTTTATTCAATAGGGTTGGGACGTCTACTTTATCAGACAACAAATAAATCTTTTAGCAATAATTAAAATTATTCATTATGAAATTTTGTAACTTAATTAAACTTAATGTATTTTAATTAATTAATTTATTAATACTAAAAATATATAACATTAAAAATAGTTATTAAATATATTTCCATACGATATATTCTAAATTATTGAATTAATTTTCAAATATATAGTATTATATCCAATCTTTTTCTAATTTAAATGAGAGAACAATATATTATTGTTTTTTATAGATCTTTAGAACAGAGAACAAACATTAAAACACAAGACATATCCCAACCCTACTTATTATACTTAAAAACATTACATCAATCGTAATAATACTGTACAACAAATACATTAATATCAATGATGAATGAAATGCATTAATAGGTGATCACATTGTATGTCAAGTTGTAGTCTCAATGAATGCTTTAATGTTAAGCACTTGTAACCAATAGATCACTTGTCATAACTATATTTCTTTATTTTTATGTCTTAATCTATTAATTGATTTAATGTTAACTTTCGTCAAATAGCTTTCTATAAGACATAAACTAGTTATATGTCATGTTTTTATAGGTATTAAAGCATTTCATGTTAAATGATTTACTGTCTACTAATGAATATTAAACAAACCATTGCTACAATTGTAAGCACATCCATGTTATTGCTTTTACTACAATAAATGAAATCTATATTTATATAAAATATTTATTATTCAATACTCTATTCTGTTATATAATTGACATTACAATGTGTTTGTTAATTATATATTTTTGAAATCTAATTATTAGTTTTAATAAAAATAATAAAACAATATTTAAGATTAAATGTCAATTAAAATAATTTTTTATTTTTATTAATCTATTTATTTTTGTCTATTAATTTGAAAATCCATTGGACTTTTCTCATTACATAAATATTATTGTATTTTGTACTTTATTGTACAAAATTGTATTTAAAACACTGTCAGTATACAGTAGTAGTACAGTATTATAAAAATAAATAATAAAAGTAAAGCACAAATAAAGTTATAATAAAATAGCAAATGATATGTCAAAAATTAATTAATTTTTATGATTAAATTTTACAATAAATAAATTAATATGAATACTATACACTTAATATATATTGAATATTATTGAATATTATTATGCATATATATATAYTGGTATATATATATACATATAAAATAATATTTTTAAAAAATCAAAATTGTTTAAACTATAATAATGTCAAATTTGTTTGACAAACTGATAATTGATTACTAAATTTTCTAAAAGCGATACAATAAAGAACTTGTGATTTATTTTGCATACTATGTATACACTAATAAAATATAAATGTCATGAATAATAATAATACATAATATCTAAAACAGAGCAAAAATTTATTACTATTTATATTTTTATTGTTATATTATTATACATTTAATATATTTTTGTGTTATAAATATATAATTTTAAATATATTTGTAGAATTATACTATAATATATACTGTACTATAAAATTAAATTTTGTATTATTCTTTAAAATAATGTATCGAAATTTAGTGATAACATTACATGACTTACAGTTAGTTTTAATGAATACATTGAATAAATTTTTATTACACATCTATTAGATATTAATATTTAGTAATAATAGTCAATTAATTAGTGTTATACTATACAAGTATGATATATTCAATTATATAGATTAATATATATTATATTTAATGAAAAACTTCAAACAAATTGTTCGTTTAGACGATTAGTATCATAATAATAGTGACTTTGGTTTTGATTGTAATGATTATAATGATTGTAATGATCGTAATTAGCATCAGTTGACCGACACATCAATATTGATAACAACTCATGTCTTCGTTCCTGATTTAAGGCATACTTTATAAAAATAATTATAATAATAACGACTCCCGTAAACAGTAATATCAATATAATCTCTTCAATCAAAGCACTGGTACTCTTAGAAGTGGCTTTTGGGTCAATAAAAAACATTTTAATTAATGTGAACAATACAATCAATATAATGTTTGTTATAAGAGATACAGTCAAACAGTTAAACGGTATATTACAGCGACAGCAATCACAACATAGTAATTGTGGTTCACTTTCATTATCATTAAAGTCAACAGTAGTGGACATGAATGTTGGCGGCGGAAGATTTTTGTACTCATTTGGTGTTTCATATTGTCTGGGCTTAGCGTATGAATAATGTTCACCAGTCATAGGATCGTATGGATAATATATATTTCGGTAAACACCGTAATTATGGTACGGGTTCTGGAAGTACTGTCCCTGAGTTGAATCCATCTGATAATTATAGGATGAATTGTGCGGAACAGCCATTGATTACATTAAATCAAATATCAATAACAAATATAATATAAAACATTTGAACCACAGTTTCTCATGAGTTTTAAAGCTATTGCAGATGTAATACTTGAAACATCAGTGATTATTACAGTATAAGAGAAACATTTAATGAAAAACTAAATGTTAGTATAATAGCACTCTCTTTACACATCAAATCATCATTAAAATAGTTGAATCAAATAAAATTAATTTAGTAAAAGACTTGATTAAAGTTAATAAATAATTGAAAGCAAACATTATTTTATTTGTGCAAAAAGTGATTGACTCAACAGTTTTGCTTTCATTTAAATAGTAGTGAACCGCCAAATAAGCGACACTTTTGCTAATATGAAGAATATAACAGAGTTTATATTGAAACAGATTGTGAGCAGCACTGGGAGGACAGGCAGAAGCAGAGACTGACACTCACTAGTAGTGATCCATTTGCAGCTCAAACTTATTGATTGTTAGCGACGACGGGCGCCAACCATCTTCACCACTGTTCAGATACAACTCTCTCTCACTTTTTTTATATTCATTACTCCATTTAGTTATGCCATCAAATGCCATATATTTCACTTATGTATTCACAATATATTAATTATATAATATTACATAATTTATAAATAAAAACATTTATAGGATTTGCTTCATAACTATAATGAAAACATTTTTTAAAAATTATTATAAATCATATTTTTAAAGCTATATAATGTTAAATACATAGTAAAGAATAATTTGTATTATAATAATGCCATACAATRTACTATAAGATTATTTCTAGTTATCAAATATATTATAGGATATATAATTTAATAAATATGATATATCTTATACATTKCATTAATACTGTATACCATATACTGTAATACATAAGTATATTATATAATATTTGGAAAGTTATATAATATATTTGAATATAAATTTAATGCAAAAGCTTTTAGATGTTATGCAAAGCATGTCTTCAATTCAAATATATTTTGCATACAATTGAGTCAACTCTGGCTTAAAAATTCACAAATCATGCCATTTCTTAAGCAAACAAAATACTTATCAAGAGATGTATAAACTATTATTTCAATGCATTTTAAGTGTTATAGTAAGTCATGGGTTTGATCGACAAAACATACAAAATAATAATAATATGAAATAAAAAAAATTATATAAAAATGGGTGAAAATGATGTCAAATGAGTGTACAGTAGTGTACTTCGTATAGGATATTATACATGCATTTCATAGTACATACAGTAGAGTATGCAAAAGTACCATGGTCAACTATATCTATTGGTTTGATTTATGCATTAATTAATATACAAAATCAATATAAGCTAATAATTATAAAACTTATTTAAAATAATTACAATTATGTAATGTTTTCATATGAAATGAAAAACATAACACATGTTGAAAATTGATTGACTAATAGATAGGGATAACCCAAACCAAACTATCCCACAAAACTATGCTAACCTAACCCATACATATAGTCGGACAATATATTTAAATATAACTATTTTTATACTAATTAATAGATGTAAAGTTAAAGCATGAAAAATTGAATGTTTTATAAATTAAAAATAATATCAATTAGTAAAACCTATAGTTATATTAATTGTAAGTAAAATCAATAATTTGCTTACAATTGCTTTCACTGATTGATAACATTTTAACCAAAAATATGGTTATTATAAACAATAGGGAAGCCATTCGTCTAATTTTAAGTCAATGACTATGAATAACGTTAGACATAAACTAATCCCTCAAATGCTATAATCAATGTTATAAGCAATCTATTGGTTAAATCATTGATTGTCAACATATTTAGTGTTAATATTATTTGTGATCACTGTTTGCATCAAAATATTTAAATTAAACATCAATTCAATTGAATTGTTTGATTGGTTTAACATTCAATCATTTGTTTACAGTTATCTCAAGACATGTCTTGTGATATAATGGGTGAGATGTCGACCATCGATGACATAAAAAAGGATTCAATGGTTGAGGTGAAGGACTTTGTCGAGTCGTTAAGGGATGAAAACAACAGACTTTGCCGACAATTATCTTTCGCACAGAAATCTATAAAATTATTTGAAGACTATCGACAATGTCTGACCTCTTTTGCTAACAATTGTCTTTGTGATGAAAATTTTGAGAATCAGATGCAATACAATGAACTCGAAAAACGATACAAAAGTCTTGTCGAAGAAGATAAACAATTTTGCGGAATCACTGATGAATTGAATAGTGATATCGAGTTTAACCAAATTGATGATAAAAAAGATAAGTTGGATCAAGTGATTAGTGGCACTAATAATGATAGCAATTATGATAATAATGTTGATTGTCGTAAGTCTTTAAATTTTTCTGTCAATCAATTGTTTAACTTATGAATTGATCCAAAAATTTAGATAATTATTTGCTGAAAGAGATTTAGTAAACGATTGAAAAAATGTGAAGAAGATAATGACTATAAGTTAATGTATATGAAAAGCGATACAACTGATAGTCAACTCATACTCTGTCAATGGTATAACTGTGGACTCAGTTTTGGTTCACAAACCAGTTATTCACAACACATAAAGACATCACATTTTAGAATTATCGACAATTTAACAGATCCTCTGTTGTTGGACAATGAAATTGTCATTGATTTACCACAAACTAATGATAGAATTATATATGAAAAAGATAGCAAAACTGTCAAATTAAAGACGGAAGCGAAAGAAAATGAAGTTTTTGTATGCGATTGGATCGGATGTGGACTTGAATTTGGATCAGATTATGATCTCAAGAAACATAAATATACAACACATGACCGAAAAGTGATTATTCCTGTCAAACGAACTACTGTTCCTCGATTTCAAGGCTTTAAATTGTTAACAATTCATAAGACAGATGACAATTCAGAAGATGAAGAGATGAGACAAGAGTCGGAAGCAAATGTAAGACACGACCCATCGTTTGACAAACTATTTAAATGTGAATTATGTGACAAAAGCTATACTCGAAAAGATAGTCTCGATAGTCATCTGGCAATACATCATGATTTGTCTGACAAACCAATTAAGACATATTATTGCGATTACTGTGAATATGAATCACGAAATAGTGGACACATGAAGAGGCATATCCAGAGAAAACACACAAATGACAAACCATTTAAGTGTGATTTAGACACTTGTGATCCAAATATCAAATGTTTTGCAACGCGTGAAGATCTTAAACAACATCAATTGAAATGCCATTCAATTTAATCATCAGTTTATTAACGTTATATTGATTTTAGAAATTGTAATTTATGTTTGTATTTATGTATGTATTTTATTATTTTTATTTGTAATTTTCTAATTTAAAAATAAAATTTAATATAAAAAATGTATTAATTAAATTGAATGTATTTGTTAATCAATTTGTTAATCAATTGTTAATTTATAATCTATAGACTCTATACTATCTATACTATAGACTACAGTATAGTAAATGATTTTAATAGAGTAGATGTCACTGACGTTGTTATGTATTATGTAATGCATTACAAAACACATGTATTTTGATATTTACTAACAATTTTGGTGACAATTATTGGCCGAAAAAATGACTAAAAATACGGGAAAAATTGCATTAAACGGTTTGGTATCTCTGGTCACGGGAAGTGCTTCGGGACTCGGATATCATATAAGACAACGATTGGCACTTAAAGGTGCAAAAATATTAGCCGTTGATATCAACCACAAGACTGATATTGAAGAAGATGTAAAACTGAAGACAAGTGTGTCATTCATTACCGGCGATGTTAGTGACAGGAAATTTCTGGACAATATGTTTGCTAAATATCCTAAAGTTGATGCTGTGGTCAACTGTGCCGCTGCTTATAGATGTAAATGTGATTACTATTGATTTAACTGTTAATATTGATTAATTAACTTTTGATTTATTAGCTTATAATTACTTCACATCATATTTGGTGTCCAAACATGCATTGGATGTGATGAAGAATAACGCCATCAATGAGTACGGTATACGCGGATGTATTATCAATATAATTGGTTTACAACAGAGATATAATGAGAAGTACTTTGAAGAGCAAGACATATACTCTAAGAAAATCGGTGAAACAATAGACTCGTTGGACGACAAAGTAATGACTTTAGCCGAACAGTTAACCGCTAATAGGATCCGATCTAATAGTATAATAGTTCCGGCAAACAGTGATCAACAACTGTTTGCACAAATCATTCAAAATATCATTGAAGATCAATACATTGCCGGACAGATCATTAATATGGAGGACGAGTTTCGACCACATTTGGGAACTTTTAAAGAACTTATGGCCGATTATCACATACCACCTGATCCTAAGACAATTCCCGATGACGTCAAAGAAGCCAACATTCAATTACCAAAACCGGCGCATAACAAGAGACCGACACAGACTACCGGCAATCGTACACCACTTCTTAGATTAGATAATAAGAAATAATAAACAAATTGTATGTTTAGTATAATATATAAAAAATAATTATCGGTACCTGTATTTCATTTATAATTTATTAAACCGGTTTGGTATTTTATATTTTGTATTGTATATATCAATATTTAATAATTTACAATATTTACTGTAATTTCCCATACATTTACCTGAATTTATTATTACAGATAGTTTTTACTGTAAATAAATTTAATTTACTTATAAATTTATCTAATTAAACTTATTTATTTGTTTTTTTTAATTTTAATTTTATTCAAAATTCATATCAATTTTCAATACATAAAATAGTACAAAAATACTTTTCTGATATATCAGATAAAGCATAAAAATAATTATAAATATAAATAATTTTTCAAAAAATTAAAGTCTGATATTTATTGATTGACTTCAGTCTGTTGTTGTCCATCGGCCACCTTATGTTCGGCGCACTCTTTTTCACACTTTTCGGTACACTTTTTAGTCTCACCGGCTTTTGGTGGCACTTGTTGTCCGACTTGTTGGACAGTCTGTCCGGGTTGGGTGGGGGGCACCTGTTGGGCTCCATTATTCTGTTCAACTGTATTCGGCATTATGATAATTATTTGGGACTATAAATAAAATTAGAAAAAATAATTAATTGTCATAATGTTTAGCAAAATTTAAAAAAAAATTAACTCACTTTTACAGTACACGTGGAAATAAAAAAAAATTGTCAAAAAAATGAGAATTTTTGTCAAATAATTTTTTAAATGACTCGTTTCGTGCAAATGCCAGCCCTTTATATACCCTTAAAATTACAGGACGAGTGAGACTAGTATAGCAATGCGGGAGATAATGATTGCCGCCTTGTCTTTGCATTTCCCAGAAATTTTTAACCATATTTTTTTAGTGATCATCCAATCATTTTTTAATGAAATACGATAATACCATTAATAGACATACATATAGTACATGTAATTTAATGATTCATAACGTTTTTAGCGTAAAATAAAAGAGTACGGGTTTTTATTTGCCGAAACATTTACATAATTTTAATGACATATTTCAGTTATAATATTGAATTACATGAATGTCTGGTTACCATAGGAGGGGTTGGTCTATACGCAGACAGTTGTGCCCACAGTTTATACCAATGATATAAAAACATAAGTACCGATTCAATGATATCTGGCCAATAGCTGTCTATTATATCAGTACGATATTGACAATTGCATTAATAAAACCTTATCATCCAATTGTCAAACGATTACATATATTTCTTTACACATTTGAAAAATGTAACATATTTTCAGTTAATTTTTATGATTACTAAAATAAATTAATAATCATTATGTAGAGTACATGTAGTTAACAAATGCAATACAGTATCCGATAACCCGGAGCGGACGTGTCATAAATTATTTTTTATTCCTATATTACCTATACCTGGATTGTCGGTACAAAGTTTTATATACAGGTATTGTTAATAATAGTGTACATTCATATTATATCTTATATTAATTATATAACAATTGTTGGGAGGTGGGGCACTATTTGTTATGTTATATAAGTATTGAATTTATTTTATAGATTACAATTGAATTAAAAAAAATAATTTGTCTATACAATACAGTTTATTTAGATAATTATTATTAAAACCAATTGTATTGTGGTGCTAAATTATTTTCATAATTATTTTTTTTTAAAACTAGTTTTGTATTTTATATTTATGGTTTATTGCACTTAAAACGAAATCCATAGTAATAATTATACATTAGCTTAAAGTAATTTTTTTAATAATATTCTCATTTCTAAGTTATTTAATATCATAAATAAGAAGACAATGTAATTGCGTAAATTAGTTATATTTAGTACTATATTTAAAAATGTACAGTAGATTACATATATATATATATATATATATATATATATAGTAAAAATGATACTAAAATTGTAAAACAGTTGGGTTTCACAGACGCTAGAAGTCTAATGTAATTTTTCAAAAAAAAAAATCTGTTTCCGTTAAAGGGTTTCAACACAAAAATTAATCATTAATTGCAGGAAATATGATTCACAACTGAAAATTGCCGGCAAAATCGTTACTAATTATAAAGTGGGCTAAAGTTCACTCATATAGTAATACAGAGAAATTTATAATTTTTATAAATGTTATCATTAATAAGGCTTATGTAACATATAAATTGGGAGTTTTATCTATTGATTGATTATTTGGTATAAATAAATACTCTATATTAACAGTTTTTAATTATTATATTGTATTTTGTGATGCAATTAATGGGTGGTTTAAAAATATTTAAGCTCTAAAAATATATATGCAATAAATATACTAATCTAGAGTACACTTATATATAAATATTACCCATTAATGAAATATATTATTTTATCTGAAATTTGAATTTTTACATTTACAATTCTACATATATCATAAAAATTGTATAGTTTTACAAATTTCTGGATTATATTGTATTATATTGATATACTGTTTAAATTTTATTATAATAATCATGTTGACAATTTTACAATGTAATTTCATTAAAAATTTTAATTAAAAAATATTAGTATAATTACATTATTTATAAAATGTAATAAACTAAAAGTGAATGATATCATTACAATAACTATATCACTGAACAATTATTTTATCACATATTTTCTAAATGTATTTTATTATATTTGTTATATTTTGCGAAACTATTATTCCATATCCAAACTAATATCATAGACTATCATAATGTATATTATTTAATATATGTAATTTAATATTATCTATTTTATTTATGCTGTATTATATATTATAATTATTTGATAATTAAATTATGCTATAATTGCAAAATTAAATTAACTGAAATTCTTATAATTACAATATCAGTTGATTTCATATTATAAAATTAGAAGAGAAATCATATAAAGTAAAGTATTAGTTATGAAATTATTTGATAAACTTTAAATAATATAACGACTATTTATTAATATTAAAATATCATTTATTTGAAATATGAATTAATCATAAATAATTAGATTTAATAAATTATGTTCATTTTTATATAATAATAAATTTCTAAAAACAGTTTATTCAATATTTACTTATTTGTTAAACACAACTACAGTATGTTTCAATTGTTTAATATTATATTCAACCGATAAAATGTATTGTACTGTACTGTATAATGTAATTTATAAACAGTATTTAAAAGATAATAAATTTATAGTTGATTGTATGATACTCTATGTCAATGACTATTCAATAAACAAAAATAACAAGATTTTGATACTTTTTTTGGGTTAGGACTGAGTCCCAAGTTTTTTATGCAATATATTCGCCAATACTTTGCAAAAATTAATTTAAAACTCTAATATGTTATCAAAATTATATTATAATACATAGATATAGATATATCTGAAATAATTTTCAAGTTATTTAAATTTAAAAAAATTAATTTATTATTATAATATAATTTATAATAATTTATTTATATTTATTGATTAAAAATGTTTATATTTTATTTAAATATATAATATTTACCTTAAAATTAATATTAATTACAATTAATAATTAAAAATAATTTCAATTAAAAAACAAAAGCAAAAACAAATTTAAGCATTTATTTAATGTTTAACAAATAACAACAGACAATACAAAATAATATAATATTATGTAAAATATTTAATTATATAAAATAAATATTAAAATATAGTGAAAAAATGATAAAATTTTGTTCACAATTAGCGCCAAAGCATTCAAAGAGTTTATATTAATATTAATAATAACTTCAATATTGTTGACGACATTAACGACGTGTTTGTTGTCTATCGAGACGTTAATGTTGTCAATGAATTCAACGCTTTGTTATTATTGTCTTTGACTCGCATTTTGTGTGTTTTGATGATCACTGAAGACATTGGAAATAGACATACAATTGTCAAGACATGGATGATATAAGACCACCGATTGATGAGGACGTGAATGATGACAATGATGTTCACGTCGATGAAAATGTTGACCAAAAGTTTGTCGAAAAGATGAAACTTTTGCAAGAAATGGGTTTATATGACAGTCGGATGATGGATAAGGTGGACATCATTAACAGCATTACAGCCATGCCTTCAAATCCTATTATCAGACACAGAACAGGTGTCTTAGGTCGACCTGATTTCAGAAATGATGATTTAGTAGCCTTTAAGGGCGATAAACCTATTGAGACTGCAAATGACGGCGCACAGGGATTCACACCAATTGAAAACAGTGGCATCAAATGGTCTCTTCCTATGCGAAGAAGAAGGACTCCTCCACCAGAAACACAGTCATCAATGACTAATAGGGATGAAGACAGAAATAGGGAGAGAGAAAGGGATAGAGACAGAGATAGAGACAGAGATAGGTATAGAGACAGATATAGTGACAGAGATAGTGACAGAATGAGAGACAAAGATAGAGAGAGAGAGAAAGATAGAGATAGGTATCGGACAAGAGATGATAGAGATAGGGATAGACAAAGAGATTATGACAGACAAAGAAGTGATGATAGAAACAGAATGAGAGAAACAGATATTAAACCTAATGTGAAAAACATTAACTTGAGTCCAAATAATGGTGATACCACTGATGAATCCAATATACTGGTCAATGATAAGGATGTAAAACCAAATGTAAAAGATTTAGAACATTTGGTTCAAACACAAGAAATTGCTGCAAATGATAGTAATAGTAACGGTGACTATCTATACAATTATGATACGCCTCCAACAGAATCTATGGCACCACTATGTGAGCCAACATCAACTTACACACCGACACCAACCTATGAAGCCAGCAGTTCATCAAATTATTATCCATCGACATCGAGTACAGGTGCAGACACTGATATCGGTCCACTAGGAGTGCCGAGAAAGAAGAAAATAGATACCAAGACTTTCGACAATTTTTTCAGTACTCGTAAAGACAATCGATCTAAACAAGAGATCAAGTCTGAGAAGAAGTCGAGTAATACTATTCTTGATATCGACGCCTTCATTCAAGATTGTAATAAGAAGGCGGCCACCAAATCAAAAGCTTTTTTTATTGATGATATCGACGACTTCATAGAGTCAGCCAACAAAAGACTTGATAGTATCAATAATAGCGGATCTAATTCACCTAATTTATCAAATCAACAAAAGAGACGTAAATTATAATAATTAAAAATTAGTAAACATTTTGTATGATATTCTTCATTAATATTAATTCAAATAATTTTTAGTTATAATTTTGATAACATTTACTGTATTTTTCAAATTAATTAATCGGTACAGTAATTAAAAAAAATATTTCTAAGCATTTCTAAGTGTATTATTGAACTTTATTTACTGTATATACTGTCTTACCGTAAACTGTATTTACAATTACGGTAATTAATATTATAAATATAAAATAATTGATTGTAGTATTACTGATAATAAAAAATATAAAAAAGCATTGATGTTAACTTAAACTATCTATAATAGTTATAACTATAAATTTTGTAAAAAAAATTAGAAACACCAAACAAATGTTTCGTTGAAAATTAAAAATATCAAAAATTATATTAATATTGTTAATTTATTATTATTTAAAAAATCATTATATATTCTATAAATCAATGAATTTCAATGAGATATTTATAGAAGTTTTCGACTTTTCATAACTTTTTCTTAATYGGATTTTTAAAATATAAACTATTATTATAGTATATAATAATTATTAGTAAATCCTTTATAATAAAATAATATGTCTGAGATTTGTATAGATTTTTATATTTCATTTATATTTTATACTAAATTAAAGTCAAATAAAAATTTTCCTATACGAAAGCTAATGAAATTTAATTTAAGTAAATTTTCTTAAAATCACAATATAATTATAAATATTATTTAATTTTCAATCTCAATAAGTAACAGCTAATAATAATAATATTATAATAATTATTTTAATTGTAGCTTAATTTAATAAATTAATATATATATAATGCAAATATTAATAAAAATTAATATTGCAAAATTTTGCAAATTTTAATTTATATACAAAAATGAGACTAAAAAATAGATATTAAAATAAATAAATTTAAAACGAGTTAGTAATACATTGGCTTAAAGTAATATTATTATTATGTTATATAATTTAAGGTATATTTGAAACTTAGTAATAATTTAATTTAAATTAAATATTTGTGACAATAGTAATAAATATTTGTCTTTATATAAAATTAAGGATTTTTTTTAACTCTAATCCCTATATAAGTAACAGTATTTTTGATGTCTGATATGTCTGTCATTCACGACTGCAACAAATAATACTAAAATTTAAGAAAAATTCATATAATTTTAAAAAAACACAATAAGTAATTTTTAATATATTGGTGCACCTAACAAATAATTACCGTAAAACCCCAACAAATGTTTTACATATATATACGAGTATATAATTATCTATTAGATAATTTTAAAAAACTATTTACAGTAAATTAGCATTTCTAGGCACTTAATTATTTTCAGTTTTAATATTGAATTTACTATATTTACATAATTATGTTTATAATTAACTCTATTTTGAAAAATTAAGAAAAAGTTCTGATACAACATATAGAATATACTAAAACTACAATTATATAAATTATATTTTATGATAATTAAGAAAAAATCTGATATTAATATGTTATTATTAGACACTCACATAAAATGAGAAACAAATTATTGCTATTATATAATTTAATAAAATATTTTGTTGTCGTGTTTGTTAATATAAATCAGATGTCCTCTAAAAATCTATGACTTAAAATATTAATTACTTTAGATTAATAAATTTCCATCAAATCTTCAATTAATATTACATAAGTGACATTGATTATAAATTTATATTTATAAACATAATAAAAAAATTATATAAAATAGTTAATATAATATTTAATGACTAAACTTGAGCAACTATGATAAATAAGCTATTAATAATATTTCTTAATGTAATATATCTTATAAAAATAAAATCTATATTAAATTATACATAATAGGTATTACATACTTTATAAATAAAGAATATTTGTTTAATCTTGTTTTTCTAATTATTAAAATAAATACAACAATTACCGGTATTAAAACCTTGAATATAATAAAAATATTACATCAACTAAATATAATATAATGTATCAGTTATTAATAAAAGTTTATTAAAACTCACATTTGTTTTTAATCTAAACTTTTATTTAATATTACTTTATATTGTTATAGTATTAAAATAATTCATATAATTATCAGTTAAGTTTTATTTAATTTAAACGATTAAACAGTATTATTCTTAACAAATAACTCAAAATAATATAAATTGAATAATAAATTGAATAATAAATTGAATATATATATATATCTAAAATGAATAATTCATTGACATTATCGACAAATATGTCTTTACTGGAAGAATGTTTAAGAGAGACGACCACATCATTGATCGATCAATTAGTATCACTCGTCCGTATGGAAGTCACGTCAACTGAGGTCAAACCAAATGATGGGAACAAATATGAAATAACAGTAGATTTATAAACAATATTTTATTTGATTATATTTAACAAAATGTTATTTCAAACTTAGTTTATACCAGTGATTGTCATAAGTTTGATAATCGAGCAAATTATTCGTCTAATAAAACGCCAGGATTTATGTAGATATCAGGATTTTATCATCAATTTAGGCGCTTCTCTTATATTTGTTTTATTCCGGTATTCATATGTTTTATAAACATTAAAAAACATTAACATAATAACCGATAATAACTTTGTTTCAGTTCTTTGATTATAAGTTTCATTGTATTTACTTTGTATTGGATTTACGAAAACTATTCATTAATTCAATTACCATTGGATTCAATCTGGACGTGGATTTTGGCACTACTTATGGGTGAATTATCAGTGTATTGTACGCATAGAGCTATGCATGAAATCAACTTTCTATGGGCTGCCCATCACTTCCACCACATGACTGAAGACCTCAATGTTTCGGCAACAATAAGGGCCACAATTTTGGATCTATTTTTATATGATGTATGTTTCATATGACTAATACCTGTATAATAATACTAATATTTATATGACATCATTCAACACATTTTCAATATAATCAATATTAATTTTAATATTTTTAGAAAAAACTGAAATTTCTAGATTAAACAATATTGAAAATCTGGTAAAACATTTAATATAATTTTGGTTAAAGTTTTTGTTAAAAATTTCATAAAAAATATGTTGGATGAGTCTATAATGTTTATATTTATTTAAATATAATATATCAATAGTTATTCCCAATGCCATTGGCACTGTTTATTCCGCCACAATTGCTTGTATATCACATACAACTAAGTTTTCTCTATCAAATGTGGTTACATAATGAAGTGGTCGGCAATTTGGGTCCAATTGAATATATAATAAACACTCCGCGACAACACAGAGTACATCACGGAAAGAATCGGTATTGCATTGACAAGAATTACGGGACATTCCTAATGGTTTGGGACCGACTATTTGGTACTTACCAGTCATATCAAGAGAAACCCATTTTTGGATTAGTTTCACAAACACCTCAAACTTATGACACAATGACTTTACAATTTGGATATTATTGGGAAATGATTCAAAAATTGTGTAAAATTCAAGGTTTAAGCAATAAAGCATCGATACTATTTAAAGGGCCGGGTTGGGCACCTGGCAAACCAAGATTAGGCAACATTGATGATGTGCCCAATTGTGATATCAATGCACCAAAATATAGTTACGATCCACACATAAGTCAATGGAAAAAAATATATTCATTGATTCATATATCGATTATAACGTTAGCATTCATGCAATTAGCAGACTATTCAACAATCGTAAGAATTTTCAAATCAACTGTAATTTAAATAYTTAATAAAATTTATATATTTTTAGTCAAATATTAAAATATTAATTGGTGTCATTTAYATTACCATTTTTCTCACATCTATCGGAGCATTATTTGATAGTAGGTAAGAAATACAAGTATATAAAAATATTATTTTACTTTATTTTTAATAATTTTTTAAATATCAATTATTAGGAGAATTACCGCATATATTGAACTTATAAGATGTGTCCTTTACTTTGCATTTGAATATTACTTTATCGAGCAATTCAATTGGTATTTAAGTGATAATCAGTTTAAACTTATATCAACTTTAATTATTATCCGTTTAACACATATCTTCTCAATAATATTTTGGTTACTTTATATCATTTGCGACATTAAAAATGTTTGTTTGAAACAATTACCATATAATGAAAAAAATCCTATCAGACAACTAAACGAATCAGCACAGGTAGTTAAAAAATTGGATAATATTATTGAAAAATCTATTTTTATATTATCAATAATTATTATAGTTATATCGTTTCTGTTTGCATACACTTTAAATATGAAAAGTTGTCTTCATCTTATCAAACATATTACAGATAATTATGATTTATAATATTATAGCTAATATAACATTACATTTTAATATATTAACAAATATACTCTTATTAACCATTGGTTATTATATAAAATATTTAGTTTAGTTATAAACATTAATAACGAATATTAATCAGTAATCATAAATTTATATCAAATTAATATTAATAAATGATTACTGATTTACAATATATATTATAGAATTTATTTAAACTATTACTTTCATTTGTACAAAATATATGAATAACAAATATATATACTGTATATGTATTATAAAAATAATTATATAAAAATATTGTTTTAAAATTGTAACACATTTTTTTTATCTCACATACGCTAAGTATCACATAAAGTATATCATTATAAATGTTTTCAAAAATTACTTTTCCTATGACTTATAAGTTATAACATGAGATTTGATCAAAGATTAGATTCAATAAAATTGCATAAAATCTTTAGATATTAAAGATTTAATTAATGGTTTTGTTTGTATGAGAGATCACATGAATATTAATAAATAATAARTGAACTAATAATAAATAATTTACGATTAATCACAGTTTCAATACTGGTTTAAACCCATATTCATTAGTCATTAGAGGCTCACGTAAATCAATTGCCTATAAAAATAAAAAACTTATTTTCAGTATATTCATTATATTTATTAAATTTACATGAGTTTACAAATTTATATAAAATATATTTATAATAAAACTATAATATATAAAAATCTAAAAAATAAACAAAACAACAATTATGTAAAAATATTGGCACTATATTTTTAAAAAAAATCTTTTTTATAAAATAATTGTAAAAAATATATACTAGCTTAAAGTAGTAGTTAAAAATAGCTAAATTAATATATATGTAAAATTTATTGTCTCAATTAAGTGAATACTTTTGTGTAGTCTTAAGTGATTTTACTGTAAAATGAAAGTATATATTAATAATCAATAATTCATTAAAAATTAATTTGATTTAATAAGACAAACCTCTTTATGTGTTTTTGATGAATTTGGATATATAACAAACAATAACAACTGTAAAACATTAATTAGAGCACCGATACCATTGGTAACCGATACAAATTGATCAGTAATAGCTAATCCGTAAAGAAACCACATTATGGTCACACAAAATGATGATATAATTAGAGGAAACGGCAACTTTTCGGTACTCTTAGTCTTTATAACAGCGGGAATGACAACCAATGGCGCTGAACAGCATACCAGAGATGATACACAAGCCAACAGTCCCGTCCAATATATGGCTTCTGAACGCAACTCTATCACTAKATATCCCAAAACTAATGTCAACAATAAAGAGATGATTTGACGATTTAATTGACTCTAAAAAGTTTTTTTTGTAAAAACCATATAAAAATACTTTTTATAATACAAAATAACTTTTAAATAATTTACTCGTTTTTTAGTGAAAGCATAAAACCATAACAGATATGATAATTGAAAAATTAAACCAATTATATTGACAAATATCATCGTCCCATCCGTTAACATATAACCATATCTTAACCAAAGAGTTGAACTGTTTTGTTGGTAATGGCCATCAATGCAATCGACAAGTGGTATCATATAAAAGATAAGATAACTTTTATCAACAAATAAAACCACTTTTTTAAATTAATAATATAAAATTAAATAATAAATTATTTAATAATTTGGTTAAAAATTAAAAGGAAATTATAAAATAATGACAAAAATCTAACCACAAGACACCTGCCATGAATGGGACGGCCGTGAAGTCATGAGTTGACCCTTTTCGGTAAATACTTAAACATATGGACCTAATTGGTGACGAAAAAAATACCATTGTTTTGATATTAATTAAATAGTCATAACTAAATTATCTCAAACTAATAATTATTACCATTAATATAATTATTTAATTTATAATATTTAATATAAAAAAACACTTACAAACCGCTGAGGAATGAAACAAATGTGATAACAGTTGCCACGAGTGCTATGGTCTCAACTAAAGACATCTTTTAGTGACAAACAAATTATAATTACTTAACAAATCACAGATTTTAAGACTTAAAAGAGTCACTAAAGAGACAACAAATAAGTGATATATTTAGTGATCATTTACTGTCACTTCACTTAAAAAAGTAAAACACAATCTCATGTATTGCTAAACAACTGACACATGGCTTACAATATGACTTACGTAATACACTACACATACACAGCATATATAACATACCAGTGCTGAAGTCTATCAATTAAATTAATAATTTAATAACAAAAGTTTTAATTTATTATTTAAATTAGTTAACTTTTTTTAGTTTAATATTTTATAGTACACTACAATACTTATCGGTTTAGTAAATATATGATATGAGTATAATATTATAAGTTAAGAATTAAAAAGTTTTATACATTGAAAAAATATTATTTTAATTAGTAATAATAATAATAAAAAATAACATTTCTAATTGAAAATTGAATTATTAAAACAAACTTTCGTAAAATTTCAAAATTAACTAAAATTGAAATAATATTTTTATTTTAAATGTTAGAAATATTAATTAATTTAAGAGATTTTCAATGCGTTCACAGGCTTTATGAATGCTATCGGAGTTAAGCATACGTTTGGATGCAATCGATAGTCTTTCGTCTAATTGTTTGTCATTTAAGAGTTTTTCAATTGAATCCAATAATTCTTTGTCTGAAAATGAATAAGTATCGAGTCGTATGCCATACCCTTTCTCATGAATTCTCTGTGCATTATCGAACTGATCCGCAAATAAAGGCATAACAATCATAGGTTTGCCGTAACTGAAGGTTTCGGTTACAGAGTTGTTCCCGCCGTGAGTTATGACCAGATCTACTAATGGCAACACATTTGTCTGCGGAACCGATGCCTCGCCCCACATATTGTCTGCCAAATCGTATTTATGCGCTAAAAGTCCTTTCGATACGATATACTTGTGTTGAGTTTTTGACAGTATTTCAACAAATCTTTTCATTAGATTGACGTCCACTGAACCCATTGAACCCATCGATAAATATATTAATTTACTTTTAGTTTTGTCTCTATTTTCCAATTTATCGGGAATTTTGAATTCTTTCGGGTCTTTTCTCATAAACGCATCGATTCGACAGTAGTTTTTGGGAAGTGGTTTGATGTCTATATAATCGAGTTCTTGAGGATAACCATAAATGCTGAGATAGGGTGAGTCCGAAATACATCTGCCATTAGTTGTTTCCGGAAATCCATTTTCTTTCATCCATTTGTTATAAATAGCAGTTTGTTCTGCAAACAAATTTTTACCGATTTCTCTAAACTTTTTCCATTCATTTTGATCACCGTTTACTGAATATCCTATTTTGAATACATGAATATAATTATTAATTGTTAAACATTTCAATATTATAATAACTAACCGGAAGAATTCGGTGGTAATATTTYGTCATCGATTATAAACAAAGGATTGCCACTGAATAGGTATACCCACGGCTTTCCTGAGTGTATGAGTGTTGGCGACCCCACAAAATGGTCGATAATATAAATATCTGGATTATGTTTGTTAACAATTGCTTTTACTTTTGGTTCATCGGAAACCATTTTGTCGACCAGTATTGTAAAGAACTTCATATTTGTCATTATTTTCATCTTTTCGTACGAAGAGTTTCCAGAAAGAAGTCCCGATTGTAGCAATTGATTGGCCGCTTCTTCTCCCGGCTTCTTATCTTTCAGTTCTTCATTTTCCAACACTTCTTCAACAAATCCATACTTCTTCAAAGTTCCTTCAATTGATTGGTCGACGACAAACACAATTTTATGACCACGATTTTGAAGTACTTGTGCCAAACCTATACAAGCATTTACATGACCCACCCCTTCCATTGGGGCAAAAAGTATTGTTAACTTTTTAAACATAGCAATAATTATTAGTATTTTATAATTTAAATAACTAACAAATAATTTTAAATTATGATTTTAAAGTATTTGAAAACTTTTCAATTTATATATATTATATATTTACATAGTATTTCTTATCAATAAAGTAATTGCATGACTAAAGTCATTAATAGTAACATATTATATACAAATAATTGATAAGAAATTAATGATTAAATCTCAAGTTTAATATRGTTTTTAGGTGCATTGCAATGGCCATTATAATAGCCAATACTATTTATACCGTAGTTTTACTTAATGTCTAATTTATTATCAAACATTTAATCACCTAATTTGTAAAGTGTACTCAAAAAGTACTGTTAAAATAATAGAAATTGCAGTGCAATGCAGTGAGAAATAAACACATAAAGCAATCCCCATTGGATTAATTGCATAGCATCACATAGTATAGCCAATAATTATTGAATTAACTACAGTATAATTATAATTTATAAATTATAATTATACTGTAGATTATAATTATACTGTAGAAACATAAAATGATAATTTTAATTTATCTAAACATACAGTGTTGTATTAATATAATAATTTAAATATAGCTTTGAAATAATTATTGTACAAATATTGTAAAGAATATTGTTATTAGTTAATAGATACATAATGTAGTAAATATAGTAATATTATATTTTTTAACATTGTAAAAATTTTACAGTAAAATATAAATGAAAATATTTTCAATTTATTGTATATAATTATTATAGTAATTCAAAAACAAATTTAACATAAATTACTATGTGATATATTAATAACTACTAGTGTTGGCAGAGTCAAAATGTTTGTATAATACAAAGCGTATTATACATTACAGTATAATACATGACTAATTTTGCTTACAATCAAAATTTAGCGCCATCTAATGTTAAAAACATTAATATAAGCAAAGAAACCCATGTTTTATAATGAATATTTTAATATTAATTTTTTTATTGAATTTATATTTTTTATTTTTGTTATGTAAAAACAATAATTAWATTTTAACCAATTATTTTTTAAAAATCCATATATTATACATGTATATTAGTTATAAAAACTGTATACTAAAAGCAGTACAGACACTGTATTATACAAAATTAAAAACCTTGTATTTTTCCAACCCTGCTACTGTATGTTTACATTTTTATATATTTTAATATATTGAATAGAAAATAGCTCTTTAACACCAATTTATTTATTTTAAGAATGTTTAAACAATTTTTTAATCTAATTTTATTTGCAAAATAATTTTGTAATACATTTTTAATTAATTTATTTATTAACTTTAATTAATTTAAGAGACTTTCAATGCGTTCACAGGCCTTATGAATGCTATCGGAGTTAAGCATACGTTTGGATGCAATCGATAGTCTTTCGTCTAATTGTTTGTCATTTAATAATATTTCGATTGAATTTAATAACTCGTGGTCTGAGAACAGGTAGGGATCCAGTCGTATGCCATAACCCTTATCATGAATTCTCTGTGCATTATCGAACTGATCAGCAAATAAAGGCATAACAATCATAGGTTTACCGAAACTAAATGTTTCGGTTACAGAGTTGTTCCCGCCGTGAGTTATGACCAGATCTACTAATGGCAATACATTTGTCTGCGGAACTGATGCCTCGCCCCACATATTGTCTGCCAAATCGTATTTATCGTGAAGATGTCCTTTTGATATAATATATTTGTGTGAAGTTTTTGCTAATATATCTACAAATCTTTTCATAAGATTTACATCAATACAACCCATTGAACCCATAGATAAATATATTAATTTACTTAAATGTTTATCTCTTTTCTGTAACTTTTCGGGAATTTTAAATTCTTTCGGTTCTTTTCTAAGAAAGGCATCGATTCTCATCCATTTCATGGGAACGGGTCTTATATCGTCGTAATCTAATTCTTGAGGAAATCCATAAATATTAAGATATGGCGATTCAATAGTACTTCGGTTACAATTTATAGGTTTATATTCAAGTTGTTTAAGCCATTCGTTGTATTTAATGGCAGTTTTTTCAAAGACATTAGCTTTTAGTCGTCTGAATTCATCCCAATTATTTCGGTCACCATTTACTGAATAACCTGAAAATTGTTATCATTTTAGAAAATTAGTTTCAAATTTGATACAAACAATTATCTAACATTTATTGTTGATTTAAATACATAAATAAATACATAAGAAATATTGTATAAATATAATATATCAAATACTGTATAGCAATATTTTTTTAAATCTATACTAAAGTATCATAATTTAATTGTTAACTTGAGTTAACAAACTTGACTGATCTTAAAATTAATATTTATATAAAACTTGTTATTACATTAAAGACTCAATACTATAGTTTATAAAAAAAAATTTATAACATAAGCAAATATAAAATAGTATTGAGATTTTATGTTAAATAACTAAAAATATCTGTAATATATAAGTATATACAGTATTACTTAAATAAACATAAATGTAATAAACATGATTAACAWGAACAATTGATTAATGTAAGTTCAGACACACTTTTCTAGATTAATGCTCAAAAATTTTAATTAAAATTACCTGAAAATCCTGGGGGTGTTTGGTTGTCATCGATATAAGCTAAAGGGTTAGCACTAAATACTGCAACCCATGGTTTACCATTAAAAATAAAAGCCGGACTTCCGACAATGTCGTCTATTATAAAGACATCGGGTTTATGTTTGGCAACAATTGCTTCATATTTCGGTAAATTTTGTTTGTGAGTGTCAACCAATCGACTCAAATCCATATTTGACATTAATTTAATTTTTTCAATCGAGGATTTACCCGAAAGTATTCCCGTTTTTAACAACATTTTAGCCGCTTCTTCGCCGGGCTTTTTGTCACCACTTTCTTCTTTTTCAATGATTTCTTCTTCAAATCCATAGACAGCTAACTTTCCCCGATATATCTGATTTGCCACAAAAACAATTTTATGCCCCCGTTTTTGCAGCACTTGAGCTAAACCAATGCAAGCATTTACGTGTCCGACGCCATCCATAGAAGACACCAAAACTGTTAAATTTGTACTCATTTTTTGTAACCAAATTTGATTTATAATGAAAATATTTGTATTAAACTTATATATTAATATTTGTATTATTAAATGTTTAAATATAGTCATAAATGTTAGAAAGAAATTATATTAATTGTGTAAAAACTTAATATTTATTATTTAGTTAGATATGTATAATATGAGAAAATATTATTTTATTGGCTAACAATAAAACAATTATAACTATTTTTACATTATATGATTTAATATATCATCTTATAATAAAAATATATTTATTTATATAGATAATAATTTTATCGAAAGCTATTTATCTTTTTAATAAATAAACCAGTTGAGAATGCTAGAAAGCATTTCCGAATCCTAATCCGAATTAAAAATTAAATTAGAATCAATGATTTAGTAAACAAAATAAACTCAACTATAGTCATGTAAAGTATCAAATGATTAAGTATGACAAAATAAACTCAATTATAGTATTCATGTGAGGTATCAAATAATAAAGTATAACAAAATAAATTCAACTATAATGATACTATTTCCGCCATTTTCTTTTTAAATATAAAAATAATGCTGATCTATTATATCTTATTTTTGATGTTCTATACAATTCTAAATGTTGAAATTTTTACCAATTTACTTTGACCGCCATTTTCTCTATGTTCCCGAAGAGATATAAAATTTTTAATGTTAATTCCTTATTACTGTTTTTGATGCTTTATTCAWATCTATACTCAAAAATTTTACACATTTTTTTTACTTTGACCGCCATTTTCTCTATGTTCCCGAAGAGATAGATCATTTTTGATGCAATGATAAAATATCAAAATTTCAATACTGATCCACATTTTGATGTTTTATCAAAATCTGAAATCAAAATTAAAAAAATTGTRGAATTCAGATAATACTCCTTTTAGGAATTCGTGAACAAATAGTCAAATAAATAATTATTTTATGATTTTTATGAATTAAATATTTGTAATTTAAAAATAATTAAAAGCTATATTTAGTGTTTGATAAGATATACAGATATAAACCTTGAAAAACATTTTGTCATACTTTATATTATAATTATTTCATTTAAAGCAATTGTATAATTATACTAAAAGTGTTAGACGACTTAAATTAATGTGATTTACTATAGTTATAGTTTTTTACTTAATTAGTAATATTATTTTTAATAAAAAATTCATAATTGTTTCTGCAAACATAAAGCTAATAATAAAAGACCTGGATAATTGTTTAAATATAAAAATATACTGTATTAAATATTAAATAAWAATTAAATTTATTGAATTCTTTTTATTGTTACGATTTATACCGAAAAAGAGATCTAATATGATATATAATTATTGGTATATTATATTTTAAACGATATACACTGTATGATTGACAAATGTTGTCACTGATTGGCGCAACTGTTGTATCAAATTATTTAACAATAAAATTATAATCTTTAAATTAAGATTTTTTGAGACATTTATTAATAATAATTAAAATTTAAAAATTAATTAAAGCTACTGTAATTGCTTAATTACCCGCATATTTTAATTAATAATTTATATTTATAATCAATATAATCGATATATATATATAATCGCTATAATTAATTGTTAAATTTTAATTATTATTAATAAATGTCTCAAAAAAAATTTAATTTAAAAATTATAATTTTATCGTTAAATAATTTGATATAACAGTTGCGCCAATCAGTGACAACATTTGTCAATCATATATTCAATTTGTTGTCWTATAAACTGACATTAGATGTCACTAATAATATTAAAATGTGATTAAATGATGAAATGTATGGAAACTTTTATCAATTATTGTTTAATTATTATTCAATAAAATAATTATTATTTCATTTACAAACAATTTACTAATTTATTGATAAATTTATTAATCAATTGATAATATTACTTATTTTCTAAATTAATTACCAATCATGAGATTCTTATTATATTAATTTATATAATCTATATATTATAAATAATTTCAAGTAAATTAAATTAAATGTATTACAGACACAATCATTTGAATCATAAATTATTATTTATTTTTATAAACTATTGCTTATACAGTAGTTTTAGATAACTAAATGTATTTTTATTATTAATGTCAATTAGAAAAATTTTCTCTTTCAAAAGTTTATTATCATTGTTTAGTCTCTCAATTTCATTAACAAAATAGTTATTTATGCGCTTAAAGTCTATAAATTAGTTTCTAATCAATAAAACCTTAGTCTATAAAAAGTTAATTTAAATACAGTACAAACAATGTATAGACTAAATGATTAATTTATGAAATTTATGAAATGCTAACTTTTACTGTTATACTAAATGCTAACAATTGGTATACAATATAGTTATTATAAGTATAATCCATATATTAATATAATAGTTAACTTATTTTTTTACAATACAGTAAAATTTTCTAGTAGTGCTTAATTTAATATCAAAATAATTTTTTWAATTATTTAATAAATCAAAATCTGCAATCGTTTTAAAAACATATTAAAAAGTATTATTTATAAATTAATTGCTATTGTATTTAAAAATATATAAGATATATAACTGTTAACATCGATAGTCATTATTAGTGTATTTTATTGATAAAAGTGTCGATCAATCATAAAAAATATTATTATTCTCACAAATACACACTAATCCTCTTTATGAACCAAATGTGTGCATCAATTAATCACACATTATATTAAATAAAATAATATAAAAAAGAGAGTAAATATGCTTTTAAAATAAAAACCAGTTAAGAATGCTAGAAAGCATTTTCAGAAAAAAACTTGAATAACATTGAAAACTATTAGTTTGTATAATTATAGCGGCTATATAATAACATATAAAAATTTAAAAACTGGTCAAATATACATAATATAAATATTGTCATGTACAGCTCTTTGCATATATATTGATAAAATATTAAAAATTTTTAAACTCAAATAACTTTGATATCATTAAAGATATGGGGATTATTTTTATATATTTAAATAAAGGATTAAATATCCTTTCATTTGGTATATCACATGATATATCAATCATTTTAAAAATCCATTTGAAAAGCATTTTTCATAACATGTGTGGACCAGAAGAAGAGGCCCGAAAAACACTCCTTTGGCACTGGAGGCGGGGGGTAGTCAAAGCCAAGGACCTCATCTCAAGAACAAACATACCCCCGGCCACCGTTTACCGCTGTATTAAGCGGTTTAACGCGGGATCGGGAGCCGAAAGAGCTCCACAAAGTGGCCGCCCTTCAAAATTGGATGCCAATGACAAGCGACGGATCACCCAATTGGCACTCAATAACCCTCTGAGAAGCAGCCAGAATATCGCTTCAGAGATTCACAGAAGAGGAAGCCCTCCTGTGAATCAGTCAACGGTTTGGCGCTCTCTACAGAGGTCAGGGCTCAAGAAATGGGTGCCAAAGAAGACATTAGTCCTGACCCCTGAGCAAAAAAATACCCGGTTAGAATGGTGCCATTCTAACCGGAATCGGGACTGGTCCAATGTTGCGTTCAGCGATGAAAGTTATTTTCAGCTGTTCCGCAACACGATTAAGCTCTGGGGGCGGACCAGACCCACCAGATCAGCCTTGAGGCACGGCCCGGCTATCATGATTTGGGGTGGTATCTCTTCAAGAGCTACCACAACCCTCATGATGGCCAGGGGGTCTATTAATGCCGAGGGTTACCAACTAACCCTCGGGGAGCATATGGAAACCATCTGGGTATTATACCCAGATGGTTTTGTCTTTCAGCAAGACAATGCTCCGGCCCACAAGGCTCGATCCACACGGGAATGGCTGGAGAGAGAGGGGTACACTGTATTGGACTGGCCACCCTACTCTCCAGACCTTAACCCAATCGAAAACCTTTGGGCGATAATGAAGGCCGAGTTGGAGAAAGACCCGGATCGCTCCATAACCAATTGGACCGAAAAAATCCAAAAAATTTGGGACAATGTTGTCCCCAATCACACAGAGTCCCTTATTGATAGCATGCCGCGCAGGGTTGAAGCCTGTATCGCGGCCAACGGGGACAAGATTAAATATTAATTTATTATTATTTGATTTATTTATATTATAAATTATTATTTATTTATTATTATTTTTAATTATTATTTATTAAACATGTTTAAAATTAATTTTATAGAATTATTAATATTTTTGCAAAGAGCTGTATGGTATCAAATGACTCGGTTTGACAAAATAATCAACTACTCATGTGTGGTACACAACTCAAATGATTTAGTATAACAAAATAATCATCTATAATTATACTTTTTCCGCTTATACTTATTCTTTTTGTTCCCGTAAATATCAAAATTTTAATGCATATTTTTTATCCTTGTTTTTGATGGTTTATTCAAATCTATACTTTAAAAAAATTTCTTAATTTTTTTTATACTTTTGCCGCCATTTAAAAAAATTTATACTGATTTATTATATCATATTTTTGATACTCTTTACAATTATAAACGTTAAAATTTTTACCTAATTTTTTTACTTTGGCCGCCATTTTCTTTATGTTCCCGAAGAGATATCAAAATTTTAATGTATATTTTTATTCTTGTTTTTGATGCTTTATTCAAATCTATACTTTAAAAAAAATTTCTTAATTTTTTTTTACTTTGGCCGCCATTTTGTCTATGTTCCCGAAGAGATATCAAAATTTTAATTAAACTTTTCAATACATTATTAGTAGTCCTCTAACCGAATCTGAAGTCAGAATTTCAAAATTCGCAAAATGAAATGCTACAGACAGACAGACACACACACACACACACACACACACACACACACACACACACACACTAAAAAGGCTCGTATAGATTTCAGAAAACAAAACTTTTCAAGTTTTTTTTGATAAGTGACTTATGCTTTATAAGTAATAAAAAAAGTTTCAAATGTTGCTCACAAACACCCGTACAGGATATACCTGATTGTTGACTACAGTACTGATAATATTAATGTATTAATGAATTTTAGTGCTAAATAAAAATTACTTTTTTCACTTAAATAAGTTTCACTCATACAGTATATTGTGTTTTGACGTTTGCATTCATAACTTTATTACATACACAAACATACTGTAAATGTAATGTAATGTTGTATTACTTATTATAATCAAAACATTGAAAGCGATGTCGTGTTCACTGCTGTTGTTGTGATCACTGACTGACACACAACCAGTTGGGCTAAGAGTGCTATAATAATAACAATAATAATAATAATAATAATAACGATATAAAAACTAAGATAACCACAAAAATTTGGTCAACATATCAATTAAACAAAAATATGGATGACCTGGATCAATGACATATCGACAATGTCATAGCCATTTGTGTTTGTATATATATATATATATATACCCTAACCCACACCCACACCCACTCATATTGTATTAATTTTTTTAAATCAATTTATTTGTCAGATTTATATTATTTGATTATGTGTGTTTAAACAAAATTACCAAGTTTCATTTATTTACTGTTGAATTAAATGCCTAAATTTTTTTTGGTTACAGTATTAATTAATATTATAAACAATTATTAGTTTTAAAAATAATTATTTATAAAGTTATGAATATATTGTGGTTATGATATGATATTTACATTCAAATATGATATAAATTTATGCAATTCATTAAAAAATCGTGCAAATCATGCAAATTGTTGTTATCAACTAAAATATTATTAAAAAAATTAATTTTTTAATTTATTAAAACAAATTGTATTTTATTTTTTATATATATTATATTTTTAAAAAATACTAAATTATTTTCGATGAAAAAAGTTGTGTGACTTATATATTATATATGATTTACAAATCGTTAAAAAATGTCATTCAATAACAAAATGTTTGCCTTAATTATCACGACATATGTCTTAAATCTTTTGGTCAGTTATTCATCGACATCGACGGTCACTAACGATGTCGACAAACACTATTTAAAACACAATCAACTGATTGATTATATGAATGAATTGCACCAAAAGTATCCAAATTTAGTGCAATTGTCATCCATTGGGAAGAGTGTCCAACACAGAGATCTAATGACAATCAAAGTGACAAACAATGTATCACAAGTTCGGCCACTTTTGAAGCCGATGTTCAAATACGTGGCCAATATTCACGGTAATGAAGCACTCGGTCGACACTTGATGTTAGTTTTGGCAAAATATTTGTGCGAAAACTATGGATCAGATAAGAGAGTGACGAAAATTTTAGACACAACTGAAGTGCATCTCTTGCCGTCAGTAAATCCCGACGGCTTCGAGTCGGCCAAAGAGGGCGACTGTTACGGTGCGACCCGACAGTCAGGTCGACAAAATGCCAATAATGTTGATCTTAATCGTGATTTTCCCGATCAGTTTATGAAACCTGAAGCTGTCGGCCAACGACAACCGGAAACTTTGGCCACAATGACATGGATTGTGTCCAATCCTTTTGTATTGTCTGCCAATCTTCACGGCGGATCAGTAGTGGCCAGTTATCCGTACGACGATTCGCGCTCACACGCTATCAGTGGTCACAAAAGTCCGACTCCTGATAATACATTGTTTGAACACTTGGCGATCACTTATTCACAGAAACACAAGACTATGAAGAATGGAAGCGTTTGTTTGGACGATAGCTTTACTAATGGCATCACAAACGGCGCCGAATGGTATGATGTGTCCGGTATGTCACCAGAAAAAAATTGGCTACAATTTAGTTAGATTTTAATCATAACTTGACTAATAAAACATTGTTTGCTTAGGAGGAATGCAAGACTTCAATTATGTCCACAGCAACTGTTTTGAGATTACTCTTGAGTTGTCGTGTTGTAAATACCCTCACGAGTCGGAACTGCCAAACGAATGGCTTAATAACAAAGAATCTCTTCTTACTTATATTGAAAAGGTATATATAATTAGTTCATCTTTTTCTTTATAATTTACCGTAAATTTAAATAAAATTAATTTGAAAAATATTTCAATCTCTAGACTCAAATGGGAGTTAAAGGCATTATCAGAGATTCCTTGACCGATAAACCACTTGAAGGAGCCGTTATTAATATTGCCGGTATTGACCATAATGTTAGCACAACTAATAGAGGGGAATATTGGCGTCTGGCTATGCCCGGTGTCTATATTATAACTGCCAGTGCGACCGGTTATGAACCAATGATCAAAAAAGATGTCGTCATTAAAGATAGCTCAGGAACTAATGCCGTTGTTGTAGATTTTAAACTGAATCCAATCGGTGGCATCCGATATCCGAGCGAAAATACACCCGAAAGTGAAGCCGAAGTTAGTGTCGATAATCATAGAAAATTAGACCAAAGTTCAACTACAAGTGTCCCTACTTTAGAGGGCCAGCATAKGGATTATGGCTTTGTTTCGGGTCATAACTTAACCGAAACAAATGATTTCCTAACAAAAACTGATTACAAACACCATAATTATACTGAACTTAAAGAATATCTTCAAAAACTGAACGCTAAATATCCTCAAATGACTAGACTTTACTCAATCGGCAAATCTATTGATGATAGAGATTTGTATGTTCTTGAGATTAGTGTCAAACCTGGAGTACACAGACCAGGTGTACCCGAATTTAAATACGTGGCTAATATGCACGGGAATGAAGTAATTGGTCGCGAATTAGTACTTTTATTTGCCAAATATTTGCTCGAAAACTATGGATCCGACGATAAAATCACTAATTTAGTTAATACGACAAGAATTCATTTGATGCCAACCATGAATCCCGACGGATACGAGCGGTCATTGTTGGGCGACTGTAGTTCAGAATATGGCAGAGGAAACGCTCATAGAGTTGATCTTAACCGCAATTTTCCGGATCAATATATGACATTCAAAGAGAATAGAGTTCAAGAAAAGGAGACATTAGCTGTCATGAAATGGATCCAATCGTTACCATTTGTTTTATCAGCCAATCTTCATGGCGGCTCTTTGGTTGCCAATTATCCCTACGATGGAAATGTTGAACAAAGAGATGGCATATATAGTAAAACTCCTGATGACGTACTCTTCAGACATTTAGCATTAGTTTATTCTTTGGTAAGTAAATTAATAATAATTTACTAATATTTAAGTAATTTAATTACCGGTTATTGTTTATAATTTAATTGTTGTTTATTAATAACTAGAATCACGCGACAATGCATTTGGGAAAGTCGTGTCCAAAAGATTGCGGTATTATGAACGAGAACTTTACGTATGGCATCACCAACGGTGCCAAATGGTATGCACTGTACGGAGGAATGCAAGACTGGAATTACTTGCACTCAAATTGTTTTGAGATTACACTTGAATTGGGTTGTCGTAAATATCCGTACGAATCGGATATTAAAATGTTTTGGAATCAAAACAAGAAACCGTTGGTCACATTCATGGAAGAGGTTCATAAAGGTGTCAAAGGATTTGTTGTCGACACCGATGGAAAACCAGTACCCAATGCAACCATTCGTGTAGAAGGCATAGCACATGACGTTCAATCAGCTACTGATGGAGACTATTGGAGACTTCTTTTGCCGGGTTTTTATCAGATCAATGCTTTCAAGAAGGGTTTCGGTTCACAAACTCAGAAGATTCGTGTGACCAATGGTTTGGCCACACAAATCAATTTTACGATAGAATCCGGTTACGATGATTGGTCACAAAAGTATGATTACAACATTGAACCAAATTTGATGGCCGATAAATATTTGAATAACAAACAATTGCACGAAACACTGGAAGCGCTGGCCAACGATAATTCAGATATTGTTAAAATATTTTCAAATACGTCGCCATCGAAACAAAAAGCACTTCAATTTATAATTATTTCTGACTTTAAAACTACGGAATCCATTAATATTAAACCAAATATTGCTTTAATCGGAGGTTTACGCGGTGACCAACCGGTTGGTAGAGAATTATTGATAAGATTTGCGAGACATCTCATCGAAGGCTTTAAACGTCGCGATCCAAGAGTAGTCCATCTCTTGCAAACACTTAATATTCATATAATGCCTTCAGTTGATGATAAAGGTTTTGCACAATCAATGGCCGGACAATGCAATCGCTCGATGGACTCCGTTCTTGATTTAGAAGACAAATTTTCTGAAGATTACAACAATAAGTTTGATCCAATCGAAGCACTCAAGAAAAACTTTATGATCTATAAATATGTCAGTGGATTAAGCATTGAGTCATTTGATCTAAAGATTCAGTTGCCTCTAATGGTTAATCCCAAAGAACTGGATGACAAATCGTTATCATCTGTTGGTTATAAAAGACTATATAGTGCTTACTTTGATAATAATCCTGAATTAGCTAACGGTTCCACTTGTGATGCATCATATAAAACGAAAACTTATAAAAAGTTGTCACACATTCACACAAAAGGCCAATCAATATTAGACTATGCTTTCAATGAATATAAAACTTTAATGATATCGGCATCTATTGATTGCTGTTCGTATCCATTTCCATATAACATACCTATGCTTTGGAAATATAATTTAGAATCAATTATGAGTTTTCTCGAAACTAGTATTACTGGTAATTATGAGAGACAGTGTTTTAAAGATATTGAGGTTTTTAAAAAAATAATTTATTTGAAATTAAAGGTATAACGGGTTATATATTGGACTCTTTAAATGGTGTCCCCAAAGGATTATCGGTATATATGGATGGCTTTGATGAGGTCATTGAAATTGATCCAAAAACTGGTCGTTTTAATTTGGTTTTAAAGCCAGGCGTTTATAGATTGCACAGTATGTTAACATTAATTACCTACTAATATGTTTAGTAAATGTTTTAATTATTTTTTTAATAAATTTAGTCTCAGCTCCCGCTTATGAAAACAAGACGTTAAACATTACGGTTGTTGCCAAAGAAAATAGAAAAGTTAATGTAATTCTTGATTCAATTGGTTTATCATTGAGATATCATAATTATGATGCAATGGCTACAGTTATGGCCAATTTGACCCAACAATATCCAGATATCACATCAGTGTATAGGTATTAATATTAACTACAATATTACCCGTAATGTTAGACTGATATATAGAGTTTAATAATATGTTTTTAATACTGTTTGATAGCATTGGGCAATCCGTTGAAAAACGAAAATTATTGGTTTTTAAGATTGGCATTAAAAATAAAATAAGAGGCGATGAAACAGCAATCATTAGATTTATTGGGGGTCTCAACGGCAATGAGAGGGCCACCACTGAAATACTTATTCAATTAATTGAATATCTTCTAAGCCATTATAAGAAGGATTCGTATATAACTCAATTGATTGACAGGGCTAACATTCATATACTACCGATGGCCAACCCGGACGGCGCAGAATTAGCACAAATAGRTCGCTGTGACGGTACTAAAGGTCTTACCAATGCTAAGGACATTGATTTGGATCAATCGTTTTATACGGGTATTTAAAAATATTATTATCTTTGTTATATTTATATTGAGCTTATAATTTATTTTTTTTAATATATATAATTCAGATGTCTTAGTGCCGCCCGAAACGCAAGCTATCAAAAATTGGACGAAAAGCGAAAACTTTTTGATTTCACTAAATTTAAGAACTGGTGGTAATGTTATTACTTATCCATTCAGTTCAACAGATTTTGGTAAGAGCTTTGATTTTGTTATTTATTTATTTTTGGATTAATTTATTTTATTTCTGTATTTAGATAAAAATCGGAGACCACTTTCCGAGTTAGATAAACAGTCATTTGAACACTTGGCTATGGTTTATGCCAACGCACACAAGGATATGCATTTGGGAATCGCCCGGTGCGGTCATAACAATAGAAATCGTCTTATTAAAAATGGTTTTACCACTGGATCTATTTGGCATCCGACTAATGGGACACTACTTGATTATGGATATAATGTGTCTAACATTTATGAACTTTACATATATATTGGCTGCTGTGCGAGTCCTCCAGAATCTCAATTAAGTGATTTATGGCGAAATCATAAGAAACCATTGATTGAATTGTTAGGCAATATAAACGATGGCATTCATGGCCGAGTGGTCGATGAAAACGGACTGGGAATCAGTCACGCGAATATTCATATTGAAAATATAGCCCACAAAGTGTATACTACTGACAGCGATGGTCATTATAGGATACCACTGTTTGATGGTAAATATGTGCTCAATATTGATGCCGACGGCTATTGGCCGTCAACTAAAATGGTGACCATAAGCACCGATAGAGACAACTTGTTTGTCATCGATATGATGAGCGACACTAGAATTGCTGGCATTCCTCGATCAGTGTTTGTTATTATATGCGGTTCAGCTATGCTAACGGTGCTCGTCGTGTCGTTGTGTGTCTACAATATTTTAATGCAACAAAAATATAAAAAGAAAGGTTTCCAAAGGATAGGCACCGATGGTCTACACATCTTCGATGATGACGATGACGACGAAGAAGAATTGGAGGAAAAAGCTTCTAATGATAAACCATATATTGATGTCAAGCAATACAAAGACGTGCCCTCCAGTTCCGAGGATGAGTTATATAATGTTCATCAATGGGGCAAAAATCAATTATAGATTAATTTGTTACATAAATTTAGTTTTCAATTTAGTATTTTATTATTTTGTCAATCTGTCGACTCTAGTCTTCCATTTCAAACCAGTTTTATAAACTAAAAATTAAAAAAAAATGATTTTAACTCTACTATAAACTATATTTATTAATCTTTTTATTCTGTAAATCATTTTTTTGTTGATGTTTTATTTGCATAATTATGTTTTAGTTAATTATACAATTTTAAGATTTTTTTTAATTTATCAAAATTATGTTAGCACGGTAATTTTTTGCTTAAATTTGTATATTTTAAGAGTAATTATTATTAATTGTACAGTATCAATTATTGATAATAATTGTGTTTTGAGTAATACATTCATTTAAATTCAATTGTTATTTTAAGTAAACAATATGATTAAGTTTGTTGAATATAACTTAATATAAAATTTAATAATTATTTCAATTGAAAAAATACTTACATACGGTATATTACCGTAGTAATTTATGAACTGGGTAAATGGTTAAAAATTAAATGTATATTTTGTTTTTATTATCATGTGATAAATATTTTAACGATAATTGTATTTTGTATTTATCAATATTTTTTTATAATTTTTTAGTTGAAATATTAATGCATTACATTGCAAACATGCAAACATTTTTGTAAATTAATCTAATTTTTTAAAAATTATTATATTTTAATTGTAAAATTTTTCATTATGATAGTGCCTTAAAATTATATTTAAAAAGGGGTTTTTGGTTTGCATTAATTTTTTAGTGCAAAACATTATTATTTGTGAGCTAAACTATATGCAAATAATTRTAATTTTTTAATATTTAAAAAATACGAAAATTATCTTATATTTAATAAATAATAAATTTATTACCTGAAAATTGACTTTCTTTTGAAACAATTGATCTAGGACAATTACATGATATTGCAAATATAAGAAACAATATAATTTAGACTAAATTTATTTTTTATAATTTTTTATTAAACATCAAAATCACATTTTTATTATTGGCATAATAGTTGAATATTTAATAAAAATTAATGATATTTCTGTAAATGTATTTTAATAAAAATAAGGAAGATTTACACTTTAATATATTTTAAATAATGAATTGATTATTTTTTTTATTTAGAAGACAGTATTCGGTGTATTGTATTAAATCTTTAGATATTAAATTTACATGAGTTTACAAATTTATATAAAATATATATATAATAAAACTATAATATATAAAAATCTAAAAAATAAACAAAACAACAATTATGTAAAAATATTAGCACTATATTTTAAAAAAATCTTTTTTATAAAATAATTGTAAAAAATATATACTAGCTTAAAGTGGTAGTTAAAAATAGCTAAATTAATATATTAATCGAAACAAGTATTCTTTGCGTGTAAAATAAAAGTGTTTAAATTCATTTTATTGAAAAAGTTAATGAAATTTAATAAATTGTAAAATTGTCATTTAAATCTATAACATCTCTTTAATCACTGGTCAAATTTTGATTATTTTTGGTAAACCATTTCATCTGATTTTGAACCGAAAAAGATTTTTTGACTCCTTCCAGTTTTTTAATTTTTTCACTATCTAAGAAGTCTTTTATTTATTCAAATAAATAGTAATCTGACAAAGCAATATATGGTGAATATAATGATTCATCAATGGTTTTAATAAATCCTATAAATTTATTATAATTCAATTGTATAAAAAATTTTGGTTTATTTTCACTTAAGTGGCCTATAGTTAAGAAGTGAAATTATTTAGTACTTAAATTAATGCCACATATCTTCAGCGAATTGAGTCCAAATGTCTTATAATAGTTCATAAATCAATACCCAATATCTTTCTCATCTTTTATCATCAAAAGTCTGGATATAACTTCACTAAATCCTTCAAAATTTTAGTATTTAAATTAGGTAGTTTTTCTGACTATTTTCTGTCTTTTACATTAACCTCTACTTCTTTCCATCATTTTTTATTCGTCAAATTAATGCTTACATTTAGTTTTTCATAAGAAGCCTTACTAAGATTTTTGGCCTCCATTATTGCATTATTTAATCAATGATATAGGTATTTTTGAGCATATATGAAAATGATGTCATGTGACTTTAAGCTATGTAACGACTTTATTAATAACTTTATTTTAAATGTTTAATAACATAGTTAAAATTCAATAATGTAACTGTTGAATTACAAAAAAAATAAAATTTTAATCATTACATAGATCTCACAAAGACAAAGTAAAATTTCATTATTTTTGCAACGCAAAGAATACTTGTTTCAATCGATATATGTAAAATTTATTGTCTCAATTAAGTGAATACTTTTGTGTAGTCTTAAGTGATTTTACTGTAAAATGAAAGTATATATTAATAATCAATAATTCATTAAAAATTAATTTGATTTAATAAGACAAACCTCTTTATGTGTTTTTGATGAATTTGGATATATAACAAACAATAACATTATAATATACTGTATTAAATATTAAATAAAAATTAAATTTATTGAATTCTTTTTATTGTTACGATTTATACCGAAAAARAGACCTAATATGATATATAATTATTGGTATATATTTTAAACGATATACAGTACTGTTTATATAAAAAACAAAAATATTTATTTACGAGATTTTCAATGCGTTCATAGATTTTATGAATGCTATCGAAGTTACGTTTGAATGCAATCGATAGTCTAATTGTTTGTCATTTAAAAWTTTTTCAATTGAATCCAATAATTCGTTTAAATAATAAAATAAAAAGTAAAAAAAAGTAAAACAATAACTTTTCTAAATGAAAATTTAGTTAYTACTAAAAGTGTCTAAAATCTCTTTTTGAGATAAAAAACATTGGAGACAAAAATTGATTATTTTTATTAATATTATTAATTATTATATATACTGTTATTTAATACTGTATTATCATTATTTTAGTACATTAGTGACAAATTGTAGTCATATTATTTCTTATATGCAATAATAATATAAAATAAAATCAAGGACTAACTATCACTTAAAATCAAATATTAATTTTTTTATTTAATATTTTTGTAATAATAAATAATTGATACATAAATTATATATTTTAATTTAAATAAACTTAATGCACTTATTTATTAAATTAGTTTATGATAATATTAAAATACATTAAAATATTTTTAAAAATTGCAACTGTTTTATTAAATATTTAAGACACATTAGATGCAAAATTTTTTTAGCGCATAATTATTCAATAATTAATTGTGTCTAAACTATGAATAATAGACTAATAAATCTAATTTAGTTTTAAACTATAATATTACACATACTGTAGATTTTTTAAATAACATTAACGTATTTTTAAAAAAATACTGTTCGCTAATTTATTAAAGTAAATTTTTATTAGAAACATAACATTTTTTGTAATATTTTTAAAAGTTAATAACGGGTTAATTATAAGTAACAATTAATCAAACAAATAGAAAAATGGTTTCAAACTTGTTATTTTATAATATTTAAACTTAAATTAAATCAATTTATTTATTATTTTTAAAATTAATTTATGAATTACAATTTACACATTATGATTTATAATTTAATAAAAATAAACAAATAAAATTATTTAATAATTAATTTTAATAAAATGTTTTTTATTATAATATAATAAAGTAAATTAGTATCAATTATATTACAAGTTTAAGTTTCTTATTATATATAAAGTATAGTATATTCTGTAATACTATTGTATAAACATAACAATACTAGCAATAGCTTATAAATAACATAAAATTAAAAACTAAAAAATAAACTTGTTATAAAAAATTTCGTCTGTAATTATTTTTGTATAATTATATAAATTTTAATAAAATATTTACCGGTAATTAATTATTACAGAAAAAACAATTAAAAACCATTATATTAACACAAATTAATTAACAAGACTTGACTAGACTTGTCTTTTTTTGCCTATTTATAAATTATGGACATTAWATTTATAAAAATAATTTTGTAATTTGTAAAAAATACTTAAAATTTGTCTACTATACGAATAGTAGTTTACATTACTAAAAAATTATAAAAATCACAAAATTAATTTATTATCTTATTATATAAAATATTTTTATAAACTCAATATATAAATAATATGTTATTTGACGAGACTTTCAATGCGTTCACAGGCCTTACTAATGCTATCGGAGTTAAGCATACGTTTGGATGCAATCGATAGTCTTTCGTCTAATTGTTTGTCATTTAAGAGTTTTTCAATTGAATCCAATAATTCTTTGTCTGAAAATGAATAAGTATCGAGTCGTATGCCATACCCTTTCTCATGAACTCTTTGAGCGTTATCGTACTGATCACCAAATATAGGCATAACAATCATAGGTTTGCCGTAACTRAAGGTTTCGGTTACAGAGTTGTTCCCGCCGTGAGTTATAACCAGATCTACTAATGGCAATACATTTGTCTGCGGAACTGATGCCTCGCCCCACATATTGTCTGCCAAATCGTATGTATGCGCTAAAAGTCCTTTCGATACGATATACTTGTGTTGAGTTTTTGACAGTATTTCAACAAATCTTTTCATTAGATTGACGTCCACTGAACCCATTGAACCCATCGATAAATATATTAATTTACTTTTAATTTTGTCTCTATTTTCAAATTTATCGGGAATTTTGAATTCTTTCGGATCATTCCTCATAAACGCATCGATTGGACAAAAGTTGTTGGGAAGTGGTCTGATATCTGTATAATCGAGTTCTTCAGGATAACCATATATGTTGAGATAGGGTGAGATGGGAACAACCATTTTTGATTGAGAGACATCAAAACCTAACTCTTGAAGCCAATCATTATATAGTTTGAGTGCCTGTCCTGCAAATACTTGAGCTCTCAATTCTTTAAACTCATTCCAACCACTTTTATCACCGTTTGATGGATAACCTGTTAATTTGAATTTTTATAAACTATAATTAAAATTTTATCTAAAAATATTTACCGGAACTAAATGGTGGTGTTTTGTCATCTTCAATGGCAAACAATGGATTTCCACTAAATATTGAAATCCATGGTTTACCAGAATATATAAGTGCTGGACGACCAACAAAGTCATCAATTATAATGACATCGGGATTAAGTTTGACTACTATTTCAGTAAACTTTGAATTGTCTTTTTTAGCTCTTTGAACACCATTTTCAAAGATTGGCATTTTTGACATCTTTTTCAGTTTTTCCAGAGAAGACATTGTGGAGAATAGTCCGGATTGTGCTAAACGTGTGGCCGCCTCTTCTCCGGGTCTTTTGTCTGTTTTCGGCTTTGTTTCATCAGATGATTCTTCATTGCGATCAATAATTTCTTCTTCAAATCCAAACTCAGCTAACTTTCCTTTATATGCCTTTTCGATGACAAAAGTTATTTTATGTCCGCGTTTTTGAAGCGCTTGAGACAAACCAATGCAGGCGTTCACGTGTCCGACGCCATCCATTACAGACACTAAGATATTTAACTTTTTCGACATTTTATAAATAATTTTTGAAAAATGTGTTTCAATTTAAACATTCAAATGAAATAAAAATATAATAACAATATTTAAAGTTTACACAACTTTTATAATACAAAATAAATTTACGTCAGAAATATCTCTTATCATTAATTAAGTTAACAAAAAATTTGAGTACAAAGTACTGTACTGTATATATTAATCAGTGTTGGCAGAGACAAAATGTTTGTATAATACAGTAATATAATGTATAATACAGTAATATAATGTATAATACATGATCAATTTTGTATACAAACAAAATTTAGCACCACTTAGTGTCAAAAGCCTAGTGTCACAAACTTTTCTAATCGAGTATTTAATACACACAAAGCATATGTGTGTTTAATCGGGGATATATGAATTCCAGATTAGAAAAGTGTATTGCAGACAATTGCAGACAATTGCAGACAATTGGACAAAAATTAATAACTAATTATTGGTTATTTTGTCATTATATACCGTATATACAATATATTACTAATTTAATTTGAAATATTATTTAAATTTAATTTATTAAATAAATATATATTAATTTTAAACACAATTAACTAATTCTCATTCTTTTTGCACTTTACATGAAATACATTGTATTATATAAAATCAAAACTTTGTATTTTTCCAACCCTGACATAAATATAGTTGCAATATAACTAATTATAGATAATTTATTGTTATCTACTTTTTTAATACAAGGGACAAATAAACGTCATTTTATTTTTATTATAATGCAATACTATTACAAAGTTTCAAATGATAATAATTATTTTTTGTAAATGTCAATAAATTAATCTCATATTATCGAATAACGTATTTATTATTGAAAAAGTTAGCTTATTATAAATTTTATTAATTTCTATAAACAATAGCAAATGTAAATCTTTTTTTAAAAAATATTTACTCAATTTTAGTTTATTTATAGTTAAATAATGCTTAAAAAATAAAACATCTTTAAAACTAATGCTTATCTATACTACTATATAATTTATTCAATGTTTGTGCCATTTTCTGTGACGCAAACAATTACTTTTGATGTGTCGCGCGATTATTAATAATTTTAATTTATTAAATAAAAAATAAATAAAATATATGTAATGGACAGTTGATTTTCTTTTAGGCGCCTTTTAACATCTACCCGGCGCCTCCACCACTTGTAATGGACGGTATTTTTACGCCGACCATAGACAAGGAACTATAGCTCAAAGCTCAGGTACTCTTAGATCTAATTCAGACAGTATGTCTGGTCTCGCAATATCGCAGTCGAATACTCTCTTCCAATATATGTCACGCGTCCTCACGATTCCGATCTCTTCTGTAGCACTACTCGTAATCACACTATCACTTGATAGGCGTTCTATATCTTAACTCTATTCACAATCAATATCTAAATCACATCACATTTCGTTAACAATAAACCACTTTATTTATAATAAATTAAATTAAATAGTATACAAAATGATAATATATATAAAGATATTGATGTTATCTATTTGGGCTCTGAGTCCCTCTCTCTCTCTCTCTCTCTCTCTCTCTCTCTCTCTCTCTCTCTCTCTCTCTCTTCTTTTAGGTCGGACCTCCTTAGGCCGCCTTCTCTGAGTCCTCACTCTCTTAGACTATCTTTTATGACTTCTCTCTTAGGACTAACTCTAGGACTGAATTTACATTTTAATAATCAAGTGCTTATATAGACATAAATTCATAATTGCATTAATCATTAGATTAGGAAATTTACAATAAATATTAGAAATCTGATTCAATATATAAAATATTTTAAATAATACTAATTATCATAACTTTTTCATTGAATTACTCGATATTAAACTTATATTATATGAATAGTTGATTCTCTGAATATTGAGTACTAATTATAACTGAATATTGAATTATTAAACTTCAATAATCTTTAAACTTATAAATCATATAAAATATATTATAAACTCTTAATTTTAACTGAAATATGAATATTGATTGCTATTTGAATATTGAATAATCTCTTTGAATAGCATTTGACTCATTCATATTAAAAATAACCTCTAATTTTCAAATATCCATTACATATACTTTTTATAATACACTGTATATTATATAGAGAGAGAGAGAGAGAGAGAGAGAGAGAGAGAGAGAGAGAGAGAGAGAGAGAGAGAGAGGGTATTGTTGCACGTGTTAACTATTGATACACATTTTATTACATGGATATAACTACTGTAGTTGCAGTAGAAATCCATTTATTGAATCATATTTTGTTAACTGTATTATACACTGTATAATATCATATTTACAGAATACAATTGATAAGCATATTTCATATTTTGCAAAATTATGTTTTATAGTTTATAATAAACTATCAATATTTATCAGTAAATWAATTATATGTTACAAATATTTAATATAATTCCAGATTATGATTATGAATACAAGTAATGTAATTTAGAAATTGCTTAAATAAATTGACAGAAAAAATCATATTTTTTGTATTTAATAATCTCTAATTTATTCAGTAATATTTAATAAAATAATTTTTCAACTTTTTGAATGTCCCTAGTATATTTTAATATTACAGTATAGTATGTATTAATTATTGTAATATTGTAGTAAACTTATGTTACAATTACTAAATAATGTTGAATCTTGAAATAAATAATAAAAAGTTTATTATAAAATTATTACTCTTTTTCCAGTATTACAATTGATAAATTAAAAATATATTAATAACAATTTTAATAATAAATTATAAAATTTTTATACATATTAACTGTTTGTAAGTTATTAAATGTTAAGTAATAATTTATTTGACGAGACTTTCAATGCGTTCACAGGCYTTACTAATGCTATCGGAGTTAAGCATACGTTTGGATGCAATCGATAGTCTTTCGTCTAATTGTTTGTCATTTAAGAGTTTTTCAATTGAATCCAATAAATCCAATTCAGAGCACATATAGGGTTCTAATCTAATACCAAACCCTTTTTCATGAATCCTCTGTGCGTTATCGTATTGATCGCCCATTAAAGGCATAACAATCATAGGTTTTCCGTAACTGAAGGTTTCGGTTACAGAGTTGTTCCCGCCGTGAGTTATAACCAGATCTACTAATGGCAACACATTTGTCTGCGGAACTGATGCCTCGCCCCACATATTATCTGCCAAATCGTATTTATCTGCCATAAGTCCTTTCGATACAATATATTTGTGTTGGGATTTTGAAAGTATTTCAACAAATCTTTTCATTAGATTGACGTCCACTGAACCCATTGAACCCATCGATAAATATATTAATTTGCTTTTAGTTTTGTCTCTATTTTCCAATTTGTCGGGAATTTTGAATTCTTTCGGGTCTTTTCTTCTAAACGCATCGATTCGATAAAAGTTGTCGGGAAGTGGTCTGACGTCTAAATAATCGAGTTCTTCGGGATAGCCATAGATGTTAAGAAATGGTGATATCGGCAAAAAATTATCGGAGTTATGAATTGGAAGACCTAATTCTTGAAGCCATTCATTATATTTTGTTACAACACTTCCTCCAAACGATTCTTTTCTAATTTCTCTGAACTCTTTCCAACCGCTTTTATCGCCATAAGTAGGGAAACCTATTTTAGGATAATTTATTTATTTATTTCATATTTATATTAACTTATATAAGTTATATAAAATATAAACAATTAGATACCTGAGCCAAGTGGTGGTGTTCTTTCGTCATCAATAGAAAACAATGGACTGCCACTAAAAACAGAAACCCATGGTTTACCAGAATGTATGAGTGCTGGTCGACCAATAAAGTCATCAATGATTATGACATCGGGATTAAGTTTAGCCACAACTCCAGCAAACTTGGAGTTATCTTTTCTGGCCTTTTCAATCATCATTCCAAACAATGGGCTCTTCTGAAACATCTTAAGCTTTTCTACCGATGACTTCCCCGAAAATATTCCTGATTTAAGCATTTTTTGTGCCGCATCTTCTCCGGGTCTTTTAGTTGGCTGTGTCTGAGTTACATCTACTTCATTGTCATCAATAATTTCTTCTTCAAATCCAAATTCAGTTAACTTTCCTTTATATGTCTTTTCGATGACAAACACTATTCTGTGTCCGCGCTTTTGAAGCACTTGAGCCAAACCAATGCAGGCGTTTACATGTCCGACGCCGTCCAATGTCTCAAACAAAATGGTCAACTTTTTAGTCATTTTTAACAAATTATTTGTTATTTGTTTTATGAAATTAAAAATAATTGCAACAAAATTTTAAACTTAATAAATGAATCCATTCGACAGACAATTTTATAGCAAAAAAAACATTATTACGTCAAAAACATCTTTAATAACTAATTAGTTTTAGCATTTTATTTACTCTATCATAAACTTACTATTTGTGCACTTAATCATTAATAATATGAAAAAAATAAAAAATACTGATTAAAAGTACTACTATTATACTATTGTATCACAGAAAAGTCTTACACTATAGATAAAAGTATTACTATTAATAAATTTAAGATCAAAAGTGTACAGGTAGTCTACATTGATTACTTATATTACGTAATTTAATTATAAGTAATAAATTATAATATTGTAGAATATTAACTCTTAGTATACCTTAATTGTATATATTTAACATTTAATTTCATTATATAATTATGTCAAATTAAATATCATCAACATTAAAAATCAAATATAATAAAATTTAAATAATATATATATATTTTTATAAACTTATTTGACTTTAACTTATTTGAAATTGTTTTGCTGTAATATTTAAATTGTTTTATTTTTATATTAATTTATTATTTGTCTTATAATATTCATATTCATATCATAACTGTTTATGATTATTTAATTAATTATATTTGTAAATAATTGCACTTAAAATATGCACAGATAATAAATATAGTTGTTTTACATAACAAAAAATTTTTCCTAAAAATTATTATGAATATTCTATACATGTGTTTCTGCGCTAAATTACAGTAAATGTGTTTTTAATGAAAATAAATAAATAAATAAGTTTTATAAGACAATCCTTTTTTAATGAAAATTAATATTTAAATTTATAAATAATAATTGAGTTCAAAATGACCTTAGAATAGATCAATTTATGGTCAATGATTTTGATCAAACTTATACCACAATTAAATAAAAATTATGTTTACCTTATGACGGGTATAAAAGTAGACATCAACTATCTGTTTATAAATTATATCGATATACTTAATATAAATATCAATAAAATTGTTGTATAATATAAAATTTATATTATAAATCAATTTTCTAAATAAATTGTTTTTTTTTGCAAAATTACAAATAAAATATCTAAAAAGCTGACTATCCTTTTTGATTAATAGCAGGTGTCGGTTGAGTTAATGTGAGTTTATTATTATTTATAGTTTATTAAAATCAAATAAATTTAGTTATGAAAAATTTACAACTGTTTAGCTAAAAAAAATAGATATTGTAATAAATTGGAGTATTTATTAGTAATTTAATAATCAATTTTGTAAAAAAAAACTTTACCAACAAATAAATTTATGATAATTTTATTAACAAATAAATTATATATTTAATAGTTTGCATTAAACACTTGTATATGATTTAATCAAAACTAAATACCACTTATCGGTACATATTATAACTATAGTGTAGTCTATTAATGTCATGAAGTTTGCCACTCAAGAGGATTGATGTCATAGTCAATCATTTTGGTGTCCAAAAGCCGGTATTTCCCAATCAAACCGATATCAACAATGCGGTCAAATATATATGATTTTATAGTTGATCGCAAATACGGACATTGATTTTCATAAAGACAACAATCTTCGGGATAATCACTTAGATATAGGACTGAAAAAAATCCAAAACTTTGGTGAATCAAGAGTTTTTCGTTCACTAATTGATTCAAATATAAAACAAAATCACAGGAATTTGTGTTTGTTATGGATTTGGGAACCGCTGACAATAGATTGTGACACTCAACCAATTGTTGTGTCAAATCTTTTTCATTAGGATTTGTGGCCATACAGTAGCCAAAAGCCGACATCAATGAGACATAAACGGATGCCTTAAGAGGTCGGTGTCGACACTCGTCTTTCGTATCAATCATTACTTGTTTGTAATCATTGACCACATTCTTCAAGTACTCCATTCCTCTCTCAATAGATCCGCCGCGAAGTTTCTCAGGAAGAGGAGGCAGTGATATAGAGGACAAGCGCTGACCAAATGTCTTGAAAGCCGACACTAAACGACTCATTATTATAGTTATAAATAACTATTAATTAACAGACAATTTGGTCACTAATTACTAATAAATATTTAAAAATCAAATGTTTGTTAAAAAACAGTTTAATATTTATTTCAAAACATTTTTAAGACTAAAACACATGTTATTTATAAAGTCATGTCAATACTTGTTGTGTGTTTTGGGACTTTTAGAATAATACTATTGTATTGAATATAATGTTTGCATTATATATATAAAAGTTTGTAATTGTTATTACATTTGAGTGGTCTTTAAATGAAGAGTTGAGTTAACAGTAAATATTGATTGAATTGTCAGTCGATGTGATTAGTGTTGTACTCAATGGATGCCAATGTCCGCAGTGGTGGCCAACAAAGTACCGGCGGTTCTGAATACTTGAGTCTGGACTTCGGGCCAATGGAAACTGTCCACCGATGGCGACGATGTTGTGAATGCGATGAATTTGTGGGCAGCCGTCGGTCCAAACATACGATTGTCAGCTATAAGTCGGCGATTTATGTCTTCGGCGGCGACAACGGAAAGCATATGTTGAATGATTTGTTGCGATTTGATGTCATCGACAACTCTTGGTGTCGGGCCTTCACGTTAGGAATTCCGCCGACCAGTCGTTATCATCATTCGGCTGTTGTTTACGAAAATTCGATGTTTGTCTTCGGCGGTAAGCATTTGTCGTTATTGGCATTAATATATGTAATCAATGTTTRATTTAATTGTCACCAATAGGTTATACGGGAGATATACACTCCAACTCAAACTTAACAAATCGCAACGATTTATATGAATACAAATTCACTTCTGGCCACTGGACAGAGTGGAAGTTTGACACAAAGTTAATGCCTGTCCCCCGATCAGCACATGGATGCGCTGTTTATGACCAAAAGCTATGGATTTTTGCTGGTTATGATGGCAATGCTCGGCTTAATGACATGTGGACAATACCATTGACCGGTGATCATCGAGTTTGGGAAGAAGTACAGCAAATCGGTGACTGTCCGCCCACTTGTTGTAATTTTCCTGTAGCCGTTGCCCGCGATTGTATGTTTGTGTTTAGCGGTCAATCGGGAGCTAAAATGACAAACGATTTGTTTCAATTTCATTTCAAAACCAAAACGTAATGTCATTTAATCTTTAAATTCTTTTAATTCATAAAACTTATTAAAAATTTCACAAACAGATGGACCAGAATTGCCACAACTGAACACATCTTGAGAGGGCACCTCCGCCGCCATCTCGACGTTATGGCCATACAATGGTTGCTTTTGATCGACACTTATATGTGTTTGGAGGTGCAGTTGATTCAACCCTTCCCAGTGATTTGCACAGGTAGGTTATCGCTATTAATCATATACCGGTAATTATTTTTTGTTAGTTTTAATTCTATTTAAATTTTATTGAATATTATTTTATATAGTTTTGATTTGGACACCAAAACCTGGTCAGTGGTTCAGCCATCATCTGATAGTGAAGTGCCATCTAGTCGTTTGTTTCATGCGGTCACTGTTATCAGTGACGCTATGTATGTGTTTGGCGGAACAATTGACAATAACACCCGAAGCAGTGAATTATTTCGATTTCAATTTTCATGTTATCCAAAATGTACTCTTCATGACGATTTTGGACGACTTCTGGAGAAGAAACATACAAAAGAAGAGGTAAACTTTTATGACTTGGAGTTTATTGTCAGCAACAATGATAGTACACAAGTGACGACAATCCCGGCACACATAGCTTTCTGTGCCGCGCGATCTCATTACTTGAGAAATAAAATAAGAGCCGCACAAGACTTAAGACTAGATTCTGGTTTGCCATCAATGGATCGACAAAATAGTTTCGATGATAAGCCACGTCTGCAGATAATGTTGAAGAATGTGAATCCGGATGCACTGGAACTGGTGCTTAACTATATCTATACGGATAGAATTGATCCAAACAAGAAATCAAAGGATCCATTAAGTAATAAGATAGTCCTACTGATGATGGATGTCTATACTCTTGCCGTACGATTTCAAATGAAACGATTAGAGCACTTGTGTGTACTGTATCTGAACGCCGCAATCAATCACTCCAATGTATTGGTTGCCATTCAAAATGCCACTCAATTGAAATTGGATTTTATTAAAGTAATATTTAATTTTGCAAATTATTTGATTCTTTAAATTAATAGAAATAATGTTTTGATTTATATTTGATAGGAGTTTTGTATGAAATTTATAGTGAAAGAGCAAAACTATTCACACATTGTTATGAGCAAAGAATTTGAGACATTATCTCAGCCTTTAATGGTTGAGATTATTAGACGAAAACAAATGCCAAACGTTCGTACATTTGGATCTAATTTAGACTCAAAGCATTGTAATCCAAATACGTCTAGTCTTAGTCGCGATAAGACTAATGGGAAACCGGCAACATTTGGCACAACTCTTGAACAGGATATGGAACTGTTTCTTACGTCTTCTGGTAAAGAGTTTTGCGACATTACTCTTATGGTAGGATCTCACGGAATTAGTACTCATAAGAGTGTATTAGCTGCTCGTTCAGCTTATTTTGAGGCCATGTTTCGGTCATTGCCACCACAGAACAATATGGTGACCGTCACTATCGGTGAATTGGTGCCATCGGTTCAATCATTTGAGACATTATTGCGTTATATATATTATGGTGAAGTCAATATGCCTCCAGAGGATAGTCTATATTTATTTACTGCTCCCAACTTCTATGGATTTACAAACAATCGTTTGCAGACATTTTGTAAGCAAAATCTTGAAATTAATGTTACGGCAGATAATGTCATTCAAATACTGGAGGCGTCCGATAAAATCAAAGCAAATGAAATGAAGAAACACGCCCTCAATCTTATAGTACAGTCGTTCCCCAAAGTGGCCCGATTGCCACTAATACGTGACCTCAGTCGCCAATTATTACTGGACATTATCGGCGCACTGGCCGATGCTAATGCAGAGTACAATGATAGCCCATTGCTCAGTAGTGGTATATCAACTGACACTATCCTTAATATATAAATTATTGTTGAGATTTAATCTCTATATTTGTTAAGTTTAAAACAATTGATGTATTTATTTTTATATCTATTTTATTTATTAATATTCTAATAATATTCTAATAAATTAAATCATAAATAAAATATTGAGTTTTTAGTTAAAATTGATTGCATAATTATAGTAGTATTTAAAAAAAATATTGATTTATATTAATGAGTCCCGGCTTATAATTGATAGAAGCGTTGCCAAAACAGTCAAACGCTTCGGGAAGTTTGGGAGTCCGACCTGATATCAAATCATTGGAATCGTCTGATGGTTTGACCAGTAATATGAATGCCACGGATGCAGAGTTTGATTGCAATTCTGTAATTCCTGGTTCTGCTAAACAATTACTGTCATTAATAACAGGATATATTATAATGCTTTGAAAATGAGCGCCCTTTAGGTACCCGTCCTTTACTATGCCTGTTAATGTCACTGTAATTGTGTCTATAGATAAATAATATATTATATTTAAAAATATAGTCATATATTAAGTTTGATGAGTAAACCTATGGTTCTTTCACTGTCTTGTAAATTCAAATCAACAGTTGTCTGACCAATGGATCCGTTTTTAAAGACTATGTCGTAAACGATCTCAAATGCGGCAAATCTATAGACTGTAAGACAACTTTCATTGCTTATGACCGACAAATTGGTGGTTAGTTTGTCGACATCACTGTTGATATTAACACAACCGGAATAGTATTCTCTTATTATGACATTTGTTGCTATATTTTTAATTTTAACTCCAATTTTAGATTAATTATTAAATTTAATAATTTATTTATTTTACATCAAATACATACTCCTTTTAGTGTTGTCATCGCCTTTAAATATTAGCCCTTCAGAGTCTAATTATATTAAGTTTTAAGATAATAATAATAAATAATAAAAATAGTGGAATAAATCTATATTATAGACAGCCAGTAGAAAATTATTTGCTCCAAACCCACCCCCACCCACCCAACCACTTCCTAACCTCACACTCACCCTAACTAATTAATAATTAAGTAATAAAACTAACATAAACTGCTGGCTGTCTATAATATAGATTTAAGCCAAAATAGTATCCATACCATCATCAGAATAGTTGACCTCAATTTCTTCGTCTTCTTTACTCAATTCTGTTGAATCATCAAATTGGATGTCATCAGTGATAACCTCTGATTCAACAAACTTTAAAAACATCAATAATAGACTAATTAAAATAAAATTAATGATTTGTTTATTGATCATTGTTAGTAAATTAAAATTTTTAATAAATTAAAAATATGTTTTACCGAAAATGTGTTTTACATAACTATAAAAATTGATAAATTTAGAGCAATTTATTTTTATAACACATATTGCAATAAAACTTGTRTATAGAATTTTATTATTACTTAAAAATTAATTTATTTAATACAAAAAATAAGTACAAAAATAATGAAAATTTATTTAGCATTTTATTTAAATAGTAAATTAATTTTAATTAAAAATAAAATTAGAAAAATTATGTTAAAATTATTTATTTGAAAAGAAAATTATATAAATCAATAATTTTTGTAATTTTAAACCCATCGCAAATTAACTAATTAATTCTAATCAAGTTTATTCTAATTATTAATTAGTTTACTTTAGTTTTACTTAAACAAAATATATTACTAATGATCATCAGTGCAAAAATATTAGGTTTATGTGGTATTATGATATAAATTATAATACAGTTTAGTTTACTAATAATAACCTTCAAATAATAAACTTTTTTTTATTTTAAATATCATAAGTATACTGTAATACTGTTCATTTGAAGTATTAAACTATGAGATTCATGGCTTGAGTATTAAATTAAATAATAATAATATTGATATAAATAAATAAAATATTATAAATGTAAAGATTAATTGATAATATCATATCAATTTTGTAAGCATAATACCGTAAGGTATAATTGTCAACAAAATTGTTAATCACAACTACAGTATTAAAATTTATATATAAAATTTACAGTATATAAACTTAAATATAAATAAGTTTATTTAATTTATTGCTTTAGAAATTAAAAAAAATAGAAATATAAAAGATGTTGAAATTTATTCTAATTTTATCAATATTTTTACTTTCAATTATAGTCTCCTATAGATGTGATGAAAACCGTAATTATRTATTTGACAAATTCAAAAGCGCCGGTGGTTTTGACGCTTTTGATGACATTAATATATTTCGAGAAAACTATAAGAAGTCGATATTGAAAAGTCTCGATGAATTGCCTGACGATATAAAAGTATATTTGATAGGAAAGGCAGACAAATCAAACAAACAGCAGTGGATCTCCAAATTGGTATTAATATAATATTAATATATTATATATTTATATAACAAATTTATTGGTGAAATATTTTCTTTAATCTTATTTCATTCCATATGTATGACAAGGTTTCACAATATCTTGAATTTATGACAACCGGAAATCGGGTTAACTTTGAGACAACTGATACTGAAAGAAGAGTTCATTTGGTTAATCTGGTTATCGGAGAGTTATTGACCAGAAATGGCACTTATATGAGCCAAATATGTAACGGATTGTGGCTTATATTGGAAGAGAGCAGTTGGGAAACACCGGGTCATATGAACATACAGAAAGCCGGTAGGACTGTCCTCTTATTTCACTCAATTGTATTAATAGATAATTTTTTGATTAAAATCTTAATCAAGATTTTGCTTATAAATTATAAATGAAGTGCTTTTCAATTATTTTTATATACAATACTAATTTATAACTTATTTATTTATTCATACATTGATTTCATAAATATGTAAATTTATCTTTGATTTTGATTTTTAATAATACAATACAATTGCTTGCATAATAGGTCCCGGCCTTCCAGATCCTGAAGAAAATATAATAGATTTAAGAGTGGGTGAAATGGCGGCCACGGTATCGATAATTAAATTATTGTTAAGAGAGTCGTTAGAAAAAGTCAATAAAATGTTTATCAAACGTATTGATTATGAACTAAATCGTCGCATAACTTATCCATATCTTCATAACGACGAGTTCTTTTGGATGGGATTTAAAGGACAGAGAGTTAATAATCATAATTCATGGGATAATTCAAACATTTTGAAAACAGCTCTGTTAGGTATTGACGATCAAAAGTCTCGCAATCAGATTGTCAATAGAAGTATAGCCAGTATTGATATATTTATTAATCAATATCCCAATGATGGCGGTTGTGATGAAGGGCCGACCTATTGGGGTTGGGCTGCGGGAAGACTTATTGATTACTTAGAGTTATTAACTACTGTATCCAATGGAAAGATTAATTGGAAAAACAATCAATTGATTCAATCGATGGGTTCTTTTATATTTAAAGTACATATTTCTGAAGACAAGTACATCAACTTTGCCGACGCGCACGCAATACTCACTCCCGAGGCTTCAGCTGTCTTTAAATACGGAAAACTTTTTAACGACACCGTTATGAAAGAGTTCTCGTCATATGTGGCCAAACAAGACAATTACAAATCTATTAATATTGTGTCTGACTTTTTAGGCAGTCTATCGGTTTTTATATCAACTTTGTTAACATATTCGGAGATCAAGACAATCAAACCAAGTTCTCCATTTCCATGTGATGTTCATTTTAAAGATCTTCAAGTGTTTGCCAGTCGTACCAAAACTGGTATTATATTATTATTTTTTAAATATTTATTTTGATTATTTAAAAAATAAGTTTGAAAATTATTACAATTACTATTAGGTACGAGTGATGGCCTGTTTCTTGCGGGAAAAGCCGGTACTAATCATGAGAGTCATAATCACAATGATATCGGAAATTTCATCATATATTTCAATGGAAAGCCTTTTATTATTGATGTTGGAGTCGGTGTTTATACAAATGAGACATTTGCTAAGGATAGGTACAAAATATGGTTAATGCAAAGTCAATGGCACAACTGTCCCACCATTAATGGTGTTTTACAAAAGGATGGAACCAAATACGTTGCATCAAATGTCAGCTATTCAGCCACTGATGATATAATTAAATTTAGTGCTGACATTGCAGGTGCTTATCCTACTGAAGCTTACGTCAAAACATATGTGAGAAGTATTGAATTTAACAGAAAAATAAATAAGATTATTATAAAAGATGAATACGAACTAAAAAAATGGATAAAACCATTGATTTTACATTTTATAAGTCATCCAAAACCTAAACAGATTGAATCTATATTGAAGTTTACCGGTAAAGACACTGACAGTCTTTTTATGACATTTGACACCAATTTATTTAGTGTTGCATTTGATCATAAAGTGATCGACAAAGAGGACACACTTTTGAGGGATGTTTGGGGAGATTCTGTTAATAGAGTTAATCTCACTCTAAGTCAACACAATTTATTGAAATCAACTTTTGTTATAACATTTTCTCTATAATTATTATCTATTCATAAATTAACAATAATTATAATACTATAAAATATGTAATTTATTTAAAATTGCTAGATTTTGCAATTATTTTTATTTTATTTATTCAATTTATTCTGAATGAAACTAAAATATAGTCATTAATAATAATAATATGTTTTTTATCCTAGCACATTGACTAAAATATATGAAAAAATTAAATAATTAAATTTACTTTACATAACATTATTTATAAAATAATTATAATTTTTTTATTTACAAAAAAACAAACATTTCTTTTGTTACGAAATATCAATTTATAGCAAACAGAATAAATGAGTTTTTAATTTAAAAGTTTTTATTGCAAAAAATATGGTTTTATTAAAAATATGCTCTAGGTAATGTCAATTTTGGGTTATTTTGACATTATTGACATATTAACATTGAATCCAATATTATTTATATTTATGTTTTTAGTATACAATAGATAAAAATATTTTTTGAAATAAAAAGTATTTGTTTTTGTCATTTAAAAAATCAATGATTGATTACAAAAACCAATTGCAGTGAAGTGTAGATCTCTTTTATCAAGAGATTAGTCACAAAAGTCTTTGGTCTCTCGACAAGTCATCTGTAAAATCAAAAAAGTATTTATCTTAAATCAAGCGAATAGTTTGGTTCATAAAAATTAAATTTCATATATCTATTGACATAACATAAAATAATACATTTTTTTGTAAATAAAAAACAATCATAAAAAATACTATCATATATATCATATACAACATAGAAAATAAATCATTTGTAAATAGATGAGTGATAAAAATAGGGTTCATATGGATTGTAATATATCACTAAAAACAGTATAAACAGTATAAACTGAATTACTGTTTACATTGATATAAAGTTTGATATGGAAATATTTATGATATTTAGTGCATTGGTTTTATTAAAATTAAATATATTGTAAAAATTAATAAAAAATTAWGTTTTGTTTCAAAGAGATTGTATGTAATATTAATGACATTTCTGAAAAAGACTGTTACAAATCAATGAAATATACATTTGTCACAAAAAAATCATAAATACAAACAATGTATTTAATTATTGATAAATTTATAATAATATTAATATTACTTATATTGTTTCATTATTTTGAATGACTATTAATTAATCTAAATAATTTAATTCAATAAAATAATTTCTGTATATTCATAATTTAAAAATAAATTAAAAATACACTAATATTGAGAAATATATATTATAGTAGATTACTGTATATATACTTTGAAAATATTGAATACATGAATCATAAATAACTTTATAATGATTTTTATTGTAAAAGAAACTCAAAACAAAACATTAATTATATAAAATCATTAGCGATTGTTATCATTTTGCAAATAATGACTATTTTATGATAATAATAACAATAATAATGTTATTATTATTATTAGATCAATATCTGTATTAAATAAATAAAATAATTGTAGAAAAATTAATTAATATGTAACAATTTTACGTCATTAATTATAACAATTTATTAATTAAATTTTAGGCAATTTATCTAAAAAATATTATACATATTTATAATTATTATAATAAAAAAAATATTAGTAAGAATAACTAAGTGATAAAGAAAATCTATAAATATCTAATTATACAACTATTCAAAATGAATAATAAATAACGATTCAATGTTTTGTAATTAGATTTTTACATTAAAATATTATTATTTTTAACAAAACTACATTTAAAGTTACTTCAAAAATAAAATATTTCACAATTCCTATACCTTAGTTTTAGTTATTAAAAATTTATTTCATTTATTAAACTATAATACCTAACTAATATAAAAATTGATAATATTTGTAAAACGCCAAATAATAAAAAAATTAGTAGTTTTTATAGCTTATAATTATAATTTTATATGAGTCTATAATTAAACAATTTATAGTAATAAATAAATATCAGAATATATTATATAAAACAAAAAGTAAGCTCAAAATATATTATTTTATGAATTATTGTTTTAACCTTTGAAAACTAAATTGAATAAAACAAATTGAGAGAGAGAGAGAGAGAGAGAGAGAGAGAGAGAGAGAGAGAGCAAAAAGTAAATTGCAATTATAAAGTACTTTATTTATTTGACACGAATTTTCCCTACAGTTGTATGCATTAAAATATATGTTAAATATTCATTATATTATATATAGTGAATTGAATTTATATTTTACTATTTTTTCAGCAAATGAATAATTTATTTGAATAGTATATAAAATAAAATATTTGTTTTCTCGCTTCTATAAAAAAATAAAATAAGAAATATATTTCAACTGTTCAGTAAAAATAAAGTCAAATAAAAATTTTACTTATATATACTCTATGTATAAGTCTATCGTCTATCGATCGCCAAAACACATAAAACAGTTTAAATATACAAACTTTAAGAGTGAGTGAAAGTTTTGGATTGGATTCCCAAATGAATTTTCGATAAACTTTTTTTGCTGTTGAACTATACGTAAACATTGAAAAAATGTGTATTTGTATTGTTTTTAGAAAATAAAATATAATTCAAACTATAATATATATATATCAATAGTATTTGTTTTATAATAGTAGTACAATATAAACAAAATTGATATTATATTAGAATTTATTTTACTACATATTTTACACAATAATACATTTATGTTAATGTTTGAATTTAATACATTTAAATATTAGTCAGTCAGAAATATATTGAGAAAAAATATTAAGTTTAACCTAATTTTTAATGTATTTTTGAATAATTATTTATCAGTTTTTACGTATCAAATATTAAGTGCACGGGTAGGTTATGGGTTAAACCAAAGTGTATTTTCCACATAAAAGTTGGTTTTTTGATAACCACTAATTAGTGTTATTGAATATTACTGAGTCTAACTGTAATGCAATGTTTTATAAATACAGTATTTTAGAGTAAAAATCTATAATAAATTGTTTACTGCATTTATACAATAAATATAAACTATAAAACCTGCATTTTTATATAAATTAATTAAACGATATATAGATAATATTAAATATCTATCTCAAAGTCAACTTCCGTTATGCTTTCACAGCATATTATTCATTACATACAATATTTGTAATATTAAATATTAAATATTTTGTTATTTTATATTATTAAACTTTAAGATCGTATAAATGATAATTTGATAAACTAGTTATTACAGAAACTAACACATTTTATCATAATGTTAAAATAAAAAAGTATTTATATTATAAAATATTAAACATTAAATAATCATATAAATCGATTTATATTATTTGTTATTATAATTGTATCTTAATAAATATTATTCAATTATTTATAAATAAATATTTAATAAACTAAACTAATATTAAACAAAACAATTTTTTGCTTTTATTAAAAATAGTTTTAATGATATCAATAGTCAAATTATTTTTTTACAATATTATTTTCATAATTTATGAATATTTATATAATGAATATTTTGATGAATCAAAATAACACAATTTACTTTTGGCAGTTTTCTTTAGCAGTTTTGTAATATAATATAAACTAACCATCAAATTAGCCCCAATAACCTCCACGGGGTGCGGGAGCTATAACTCTTAGTCCTCCTCCATAGCCTCCACCCAATACATTGCCGAGAGTGGCACCTGTTTGTCGTAAACCTTTAAATTGATAAATAATAATAATTATTATTAATTTAATAATATTATTTAAAAAAATATAAAATACCAATTCCTCCATTTCCACTGTATCCCTGTCCGTCACGACTATTATAACTGGGACCACCCCAACCACCACCTCCTCTAAAGTACAACTGAGCGCTCACTTGAATTGACATAACAATAGCCCACAAAACGAGCCATAAATATAAACCTTTCATTTTTGATTGATTTAAAAACTATAAAACTTTCGCTTAAAAATGATTTGTGAAATCAAACGCTTTTTTATAGTTTCTATTTCAATGACACTAAAATACTGAATGAAGGCCCTCAAGGATACCTGTGCTGAGACACACACTTACTCTCGAGATCCAGTGGTTTTCAAACCTAAATAATAGCCTCAATTCATAGCTTGAATGTCAGGTTCGCTGTCTTTTAAATTATATATTTATATATATAAATTATATATAGCATCTAATATTAATATAATAATAATAATTAATTTTCTAAATAGTAATTTGAAGGCTRTTGTAATATCACACTAGAATTGTTTGCTTTTATATTAATTGTTTAAACAAATCATTTTGAAAATTTAATTTAATATTAATTTATATATATATATATATTATATGTTAATTTGACACATTATAAATGAATTAGCATTAGTCATATTTTTTCTAAATATAAACACTTTCTATGTTAATATTTTAATTTTAATTAAATAAATTTATTTTAATTGTTTACAGCTTTTGTAATTTTGTTTTACAAATCATTTTAGTAATGATTAATGTGTTATTTAATTTTCATAACTGACAATATTAGCATACATAAGCGTTACAAAATAATTTTTTAATATTAATGTTATGCATAGATATAGATAATTCATTTAAAAATAAGTTTTTTATTAAATAAAAATGAAAAAAAATTATTTGCAATTTCTAGCAATTAATATTATATAAAACATTTTATAGTCCTTGAAAATTCCTACTAATTCAAGTATTTTTATTTTTAAATCTGCAATTATGTTCTTATAATTTTAATAAAAATTATTTAAACAACTTAATAATTATTATATTTTTAAATATACAAATTATGGAATTTTATTTTATTTTTAGATATCCAATTCAATTAGATACCATTGAATATAAATTAATAATTATGTTTCAATTGATAACTAATTTTAGCATTTAATTAAAATAAATACTACCGTATTATATTCAATACATGTATTTATTAATATTTAAAATCTTAAAAAATTGATTATAATGTAAATGCAATTATTATTTTCTTTTAAACATCAACTATATTATCAATAATGCAATAGAAATAGTATTACATTTATTTTATGTAATCCMTTTTATGATGACACTTGTAATTAATTATTTATYAAATTTGTAAATTTATAGCAATGTAATCAAAAAYTTAAACTTACAAATCTAATATAACAAATTATAATAAATAATTTATAAAATTTAATAATAATTAATTATTATTAATTATATTTTATAATAATTTTATAGAACACATCTTAAATAATATGATTATATATTATACAAGTATTGTATTATACATACCTTAATAATATCATTATATTCCTTATACAGTAATATTATAATAATACTGACATAATATTATAGTCCAATAAAATATTTGTTTTTTAATTAAATATTTTATTGCACTATAATATTATGTCAGTATATTATAATACAGTATTATATATACTATATATTACTATATATGTTGTATTAGAATATAACAGATTATTTGATCAAAGTTTATATTACATACAAATTAATAAAATAAATTATCACTTCTAGTAATAAATAGTATCAATAATAAGTATCACATGACATATCTTAAACTAAAATAAAAAATATTAAATAAATTATATTTATTTTATTAAATTAAATCTAATTATTAAATTGTTTATAAGTTTTAAAATAWCTGTATAATACTGATTGTAAATACAAGACTAAAAACTAGTAATCAACATATGATTAGTCACAGCAATATAACAATATTGCAATCATTAGTATTGCACTGAAAAATAATTATCTAAATAATTAATTTCTAAGTTTGTCTAAAATTTAATGATATATAACTTATTATTTTCTTAAATAAGAATAAATATTTAATACATTGAATATTCAATTACACTAAGATTATTAATAAAACCAATTTAAATAATTGTTATTAACATTTTGAATAAAAAATGTTAAACAAAAATATATGCAAATTAATTATTTGCTAAATAAAATTGATTACAATTTTTCCAATTATGTAAATTTAAAGAATTTAGTTATAGAATTAAAATAAAAATACTAAATCATAATTATTGTTATATTTGATTGAATATAGTTTTCATTAAAAATTTGATTAATTCAAAGAATAATTAAGACTTCTTATAATAATAATAATAATTTGAAAATCTATTAATATTAACTAATTGGAAATCTGTTTTTTTTAATTTTTTAAATTCCTATATTGTGTTAAAATAAAGTTTAACTAAAGTACAGATAAATAATTTTTAACTATATTTTGTAAATGTTATGTAGTGTTAATAAATTAATATATTATTATTAGAATCACAAGTGTTTAAAATAATACATTAAACTTATGCTTAAGTATACGCATTCATTAACCAATCACAATAGAGATCGAAGATTTCATTATTACATAAAGTATAGTACAGTGTGTAACAAAAATAAGGTAACAAAAAATTAATTCATAAATTAAGATATGTTTGTATYATTTAATGAGTAGATTTATTTTTTTAGAATTTTGTTGTTTTTACTATTAAATGATTACTAGAACCTAATACACACTTTATTCAGCTAATGGGATACTGTAAGTCTAAATTATAATAAACAAATAAATACAGTTTTAATTCATACAATCAAATACATCAAATCAATACATATCGCACTAAAATTAGTATTTTATTATATAATTTAACTTAAATTTCTTAATTTCCATTTTTACCATTAGATGATAATTAGATTTGTTTTTAATTAAAATAACTTAATTCTATTCATTTCTGATGTTTATACAGTTCTGGATTCAGTTATCTAATTGYGTRTTGTATATAAATATAAAATTTAAAGCTTAGTGCAGCACAAAAACAATGTTACCCAAGCGAGAATCGAACTCAATATTCCGATTAAGAGTACGACTGTGCTATTGGTTTGTTATATTTTAATCATTAACTGTATTTTTCAGGTACTATACTATCAATTTTGACATTTAAACAATGAAATCAATTTTGATTGGTTTATATGGATTTTATCACATGATTCTATGAAATATTCACTTAATTTAACGAAATTAAAATTTCTGTAATTTTTCACAAATGATATGTCATTATACAGTGTTTCTACGAATATTTATTCAACTATTATATAAGCAATGCATTGATAAGTACTGTCTAAACACTGAGCTCTCATTATTTATAACATTAATGCATTGTTGAAAAAATATAAAAACACGTATTAAATGCTGAAAATTTATCAAAAATGTATAAAAAAAACTTATTGAAAATGGTGATGGTCACATTCAAGTTTAAAAATAATGTATTTCAAAAAATTATTTATAAATTTAATTTAATTAAAAAATAGGTTTGTAAAAAATGAAAATAAAATATTCTTTACTGTAATTGAATAAAGATTCGTAGAAATTATATAATATATATATATATATATATATATATATAAATATATAATTTATAAAAGTATTTTAAAAACATTTTTCTTCAAATAAATAGTCACACATTAAGTCTTTTGAAAGGAAATGAATGTTGTGATGACACTAATGGACAGTTAGTTTAACAAAAAAATTTAAAACTAATTCCTTTTGCTAACAGTTTTGAGAGATATAAATGCCGTCCAAAAGATTACAGCCATTAGTATCTCTGCAAAGCTTTATTAGCTGAGGAAAGCGTGAAATTTTGAGATAATTAGCTACTCGTCCTCTCTATTGATGGCCTAAACTTGTATTTTTACAAATTTTCATGCATTACATTACAATAGAATTGATTTTTATTTATACAATTTAATTATATTATTTCCTTAATTATATTATTATTTTACATATCATTAGTTAAAAATTTACATTTTATACTTAAATTTTCTACACATCAAAATTAATAAATTGCTTTTACAATAAAATTAAATAAATGAAATTTTATGAAAAGTTGCCATAAATGGCATTTCATCCTTTAGACCGACATTTCCGATATACAACTAACTAACGTAAATATACAGTAATATTGATTTTTGATGGTATGTATGGATAGTTTAGTATTTTATTATTAGTAGCCAATAAAAATAAAATGTTAGTTAAGAAAGTTGTCATATATTGTTGTGAAATGACAGTCATTGTTGTTATTATCACAAACTATAGTATTATAGTTATCTTTTAGTTCATTCAAACGACACAAAAACATTAGAAAAATTGGAGCTTAAGATACAATATAATACTATACTATACATACAATTTATATGTATTATACATATAAAAATTGAAAATAATAATAATAATAATAACAGCATTATATATATATATATATATATATATATATATATATATATATCTTATAAAAATAAATTATATTTTATATTTATATGAATATTCTTGTCTCTAAAAATCATATCAAATGCCACTCACTTTTTGTAAGATTAAAATGATAACCCATTTCTATTTTATTCATACAAAATAAAAAAAGAATAATATCTTTGAATCTCATATAAAAATGTTTGAAATCAATTTGACTTTTATTTTATTTTACATATAATTATTATTAGAGTTTTATTCTATACAAAATAATGTACAGAAAAAAATCATAACTAATGGTAAATTAGATATCATTTTTATGACAATAAAAGAAAAAACTTATTTATATTTAAAAGATAAAAAAATGGTGATCTTATCAATGTATAAAATGCTATAAATTTAGTTCAGAAAAAAGAGATTTATAGTATAACATCATATATAGTATAAAATTTTAAGTAATATGTTATACAAAAAAGATTGCATTTAATATAAATAACAGTTATGTCATTCAACACAAATGGTGCCTAAATTTAAAATCATTATTTAAATGACTTTTATTATTATGGCATCATTTTATATAAATTGTGTTTAAGATATTTAGAGTAAAAATATCTTTTTTAATGAACATTGCTTTTTAAATATTTATGAATATTATTACATTTTTCATGAATTTTTAAAGTATAATTTTTAAAAAAGTTTAATATATTAAATGACATGTGATTTATCACTTAATATGACTAATTAAATCTATACAATATTTTCATTTAT